AATGTTAGTGCATTATGATCCATTGTTTAATCTAGTTCAAGTTCATTAATTTAATTGCTTATTGTGAAATCATGGATAAGATTTAGATTATATGCATTAGATTGATTGCTCACTTCCATTCTATTTCAATTTCATGCATTTTTATAGAAAAATGCATGAATTCAAAATAAAGGGACTGGCAAAAGTAAAAGTAAAGAATTGTAATGCAAATTCAAGAACTCAATATCAATGCAAGATATTAACTAAAACAATTAACATTAAGAACCAAAGAAAGCATGAAAGTAAATTTGAAATGAAAACAGAGCTGCAATGGATCCAAACAGCCACACAACTTCAAAAATTATCAAGATCACAAGAAAAATTAAAGGGATCACGTGCAATGCCTACCTCAATGAAAATCCAGCTAGGAACAAGTTCAAATCATCCTCTACAAGCATCAAATGGTGTTAATCTTCAAAAGAGAAGCAAAAACACCTAATCACACCCCTAAATTTTAATTATTGAACCGCACATTCATTTCTCTAGCCGTACTTTGATTTTCAATAAATTAAAAACTCTATTTTCTTTGGAGATCAAGATGAAATGTAAAACTCAAGCCCAAATTGCAAAAATTGCATACTTTATTGAAATCATCAATTTCATGAAGAAAAGCTAAAGAAACTGTAGCTCAAATGTAAAAAAATATAATTCAGAAACAGATTTGAATCAAACATGAAATTAAAGGTGAAATTTTGAGCTGTTAAAAAATGACATTGCTAGAAATTGTAAAGAACATTGTAGGAAATTTAAATGAAATTGTAAATGAACATTTAAGACAGAAAATGAAATAGAAAATGTAAGAAAATTCATCCAAACAACTCAACTCTACAGAGAGGAGTTGCCTAAGAATTCTAAACCGAACCTAAGGAGCTAAAACTAAACTAAGGAAAACTTCTTAATTTCCAGCAACTATCCTCTATTTATTGGCATCAAGTAGTCCAAATGAACCAATAGGAGTGCTCAAAAGTGCAAGTCAGCAGCTAAGCAGTTGAAGAACTTCCAGCTCACTGAAACCGCACATGTGCAAATTACTCCTTTGGATTTCCTCTCAAGTCAAGCAAATTGTTTGAAACATTGATGTTGATCCAAATGTTCTTTTAAGTGACCAGTGGGAGAGCTTAAAAATGCGAAATTAGCAACTAATTCCTAATTTCTTGGAGTGCAATGTTGTGTTCACGTACAACACTTGAAAACTGCCCAAACAGCCAACTCATTTCCCTTCTCTTTGTACGTGATGATCCTTAGTGTTCAATTTTCAGCCAATTAAGAGTTCAAATTTTGTAGAAGGCATGCTTGAATTTTGGAAAATAAATGCCTCCATAAAAAAGATATCCTGTACAAAAGTACAAACACCACACACCCAAACCCTGAAACCTCAATTCAAGTTGACGCTTGTACAAAAATGATTGGGTGTAATGGGCTACCAAGAAAACAGAATATGGATCACATCCAAGCTCCCCATCCTGGAAACATCTGACATAATCTCTCAGGATCGATGGCATCTTGAATTAGTTGTTGAACCTACACCATAAAAATTGAACATTTAAGTAGGCTTTTCAATACCAAAGCGCTATATTGCAACTAAAGTAAGGGCCGAATTTCCATCAAACCAATGAAAATAAATTGTGGCAAACAGCAACTCCAACAATATATGCAACATGAGGAGGCTGGCTTATGATTATTTGCCTTCTTTTTAATAACATTATATTAAATATATAAACTCAGAACAAAAAATTCCCTAACTGTTTAATTAAAGCCGCAGGTAGTTTATCTGTTGCTAACTTAGATAGGATAAGCAAATAGAAAGAACCATCACGGGTCAGGTAGAAAAAAATCTTGGAAAAGGAAAAAACTAAGTCCATGAGATGCAAACGATTATAAAGCGATGATTCAACTGGTGTACAGTTTTTTTATGCATAACAAAAAGGTCATTAAATGGAGTTTGGTTGAGGCAAACAAAGACAGAAGCACATCCATTGATAAGAGGATTACAAAAAAAAAGCAAAATTTTCAAGCTAGCAATATTTTCTTGAAATTTAGGACCACTAATGTGGCAGTTGTAGTTGAAAATTACCTGCCCATGTACACTTCTCATTTCACCTTCTTCGTACCCATCTAATTTTTGTTTGACACGCATCAGAGCACGTGCAGCATCCTTATTACCTTCATATTCATCTTGGAAGCCTTCTAAGCTTGATTCCAAATCATAATCTGTTTCCTGTCAATGGCCATGAGAAAGAGACTAGATCCGTGAGAAAATATGTAACATTTCGAGAAACACAGATGTCAAAGCAGTTCAGCCAATTTACTATTTAGATAAAAGAGCTTGTTCACTTATACAGGAGAATATAGGTGATGACTCCACATCAAGTATTACAGAAATTATTAAAGATAATATATAGAATAGAATAATAAAGAGGAAAAAATTTTATAGTTCTCGATATTATATCTTTGTACAAGTTTACTAATGTAATCCCAAAATTCAACTTCTTATTTGGTACAAAGGGAGACCGAAGCCTAGGGAATATGGGAAGGGAATTGAAAGTGCTGGGGTTTGATTTACTAATGTAATCCCAAAATTTGACTTCTTATTTGGTACAAAAGGAGACCAAAGCCTAGGGAATATGGGAAGGGAATTGCAGGTGCTGGCTATCAAACCCCAGCCTTGCAGGAATCCACCTCCCTTAGGAAGTGGATGAACCATTTAGGCTAAAGCCCAAAGTTCCCCAAAAATTTGACTTTGCCATAGCTGGAATATTCTATGAATCAGCCACGAACTAACTAGTCCATAACAGAAAGGATCTTAACTTAGATATTTACATAGTGTGGCCCTTAGGTATTACCTCAAGTGGTAGAGGGAAACAGGTGCTTAGCTGAGTTGCATGCAGAATTATTAACCACCACCCATTAAATACAAGATGGAGGTATGGGATTCTATTATTTGTTTATTATAGATGGTAGAGCCTTCGGCAGTTCAATCCTGTAGAGTTCAAGTTGATAAATTGTACAGCTTAAAACAGTTATGATTGTCAATGCCCATTATCTCACTCTTCATTTCTCTTAACCAAAGAAATGCTGTAATCAAATTGCATTAGTGGGCAAGAAATATTATTTGAGGAAATACCTTCTGACGCTGCAAAGCCTTCAGGGGTGATAAAGCCCACTTATAAAGAGGATCATGGATAAAAACCTGCAAAGAATTCTTATCATTAGCAAAGATAAATTAAAGAGAGAAATTTAACTTACCCAATTAAGCCATACCTCAATAATAGTCAGTAGAGCTTCTTTATTTGTCCGCATTACAGAGAGAGTTTCCTCACAACATTTTCTGAAAATACCTTCCACTCCAGCAACACCCATGCCATCGATGATGTCTCTTGTCAGCCTGAATGGAACCTGTCACAATTCGTTAAAGGAATGGATGGTGAGAAATAATAACAATAATTGAAATAAGTGATGGGAGAAAAAAGATTGTTAAATTCTCAAAGAAACATACCCTCTCAGGTGTCTTGAGCATTAAGCCTTGTTCAAAAGCAACACCAAGATCAATGTGAACAACTTCTGCTGTGGCTTGATCAATTAAAATATTCATAGTATGTCTATCCCCAAGTCCAACAATATAACCCACCTGAAACAAAGATGTCTTCAGTACCATCACATATGGTGATAGACTCATGTCTTCAGTGCTATCGCATGTGGCTTGATCAATTAAAATACTCATGTCAAGAGCCAACTTCATTGAGGCTACATTGTTTGGCAAAGAGGTAATGAAATTGAGATTTAATCTGAATTATTATTAATGAAAATAATACAGTCAAAGAATTCTCCAAATGGATGAATGTTTTCCATTTTCCCTTTGACTCAAAGTTGCACAGATAGAACTACATTGCCTAGGCTGTTATAGATTATGACTCTTCTTAAAAGTGGCTTAGTTAGAACATCAGCATTAAATATTTATGTTATGGTATATATTGAAGTGGAATATGGAGAGAACACAACTTTGACTGTTGGAAACAGAATAACTACCCATTTTTGGCAGCCTAATGTTCTAAAAAGAGTATGTCTATCAGTGCAAAAGATATGGAAATTAAGTTTTAGTTAATTCTTTGTCTTCCCATCTATATAAGTTAGGATTAACTGGATGAAGTCCTAGAAGGTTAAAAAAAAATGAATGGTTGGATGGCATAATATGGGGAGACAATTCTTAGCTTTAACATTAATAGGACTTGAACAATAATGCAGAGCAGAGTACGCCTACCATTGAAGTAGCTGCTACACTTCGTGTGTAGGATAGTCTCTTCTCAAACCAGTCAGCTGGTTGCAGAAATCTTTCCAGAAAAAAGTAATGCATGACAGGTCTGCATAAGGTCTCAACTAAATTAGGATTTGAAAAACATTAACAATTAAACAGTTATCTTAAATTTTGAAATGTAAACCTGAACTTCTCACAAACTTCCTGGAAGGCTTTGCGCTTGTCTTTTTCCTATCAACAGATAAAAATAATATCAGGTAGATTTTCTTTTTCATCCACCTACCTCAATGGAGAAGGGTTACAGGTTTTCTCCAGATAATTAGAATATTTACAGCTAACGGAAATAAACCATTGATAATTCCAAAAGAGATAGAGTAGAGGAAGAAGGGTTAGGCACGTATTCTAAGTTAATATTTAAATTTACAGCTGACAGATATTAAACTACTCTTTGTTATGCAATAACATAACGAAAAGGCAACTTGCATTTGACATGTGTTCTCGGCATTTTAGAAATGACCAGTCTCCGATTCCATAGCGACCATGTGCACCTCCATTCCTATTGCTGCAAAATTGATGATATCGAGTCATTAAAATTCAATATAATATCTCACAATCAACTGGTAATGCTATAAGACTGTAACTGTAGTAAGTTAACTAACCTTCCTGTAAGATATTCTCCTAGAGGAAGAGTCCCATCAACCCATTCAATAACACCAGCACTTGGAGTGAAAGGAACAACCTAATTCATCAATAACAAAGCATTTATAACTTTGAAAGGATAAGTATATTTAATTAAAATGCACAAATGTATGTTATTAGAAACAGAACCAGCCAGCACTGCTATTGTTTTTCACCCTCACAAGACTTATTCCGTGAAATCACCATAAAGCCAAAATTTAAACAAAACCTTATTATAGTTCAAGTTTTTCAAGAAGAAAAATTGTATGAACTACACTGCAACTAATTGAAAGAACTTTCAGAAATGGTGAAATTGTACAACACACACAAGAAATCCTGGCATCCCTTACAAATTTAAATGGCAAAAACACTAAAAAACACATTATGTGGTCATTAATATATGTATCTTACAACCCTGATCAGATGCCTCTAATGAAGGAGAAAAGGAAAAAATATATAAGTAAAATCAAGAGAACTCAGATATACATGATACAACATGTGGAAAACCGATTCCTAACCAGATTTGATTAGTTGTCATTCATTTAGTATTTTGGTTGTTTCCTAATAAAAGGGATTTGGTTCATTGACCAAATTCCTACTTGGTACTTTCCATTTTAGTTAGAGAATTTTTAAATGATTTGTTATTATCTCTAAGATATCATGGGATTTGCCAGATTTGATGCTTTAGCTATATATATCTTCTAGTACTCTAGAAAGTTTTTTAAGAATTCATAAATAAGATTTTTTCATGGTATCAGAGCAATCATCTTGAATCATCAAAACCAATATATTTTTTTCTTTCTATATCTCTATCTACACCATGGCAAGTAGCACAGGTGTGTCTAAGCCCCCTATTTTGCCTATCACCGGTCGCAAACTCAATGGACAAAATTCATCCAGTGGTCTCAATCAATGATGTTGTTTGTTTATGGAAAAGGTACGGAAAATTATCTCATGAGAATGGCTATTTCACCCAGCGAGAATGACCCGAAGTACCGAACCTGGAAGTTGGAAAATAGCATGATAATGTGGTGGTTGATCAATTCTATGACCAACGAGATTGGTGAGAATTTCATGTACTACAAAACTGCCAAAGAGATTTGGGATGCTACGAAAGAAACCTACTCCAACGTAGACAATGCGTCTGCAATATTCAAGATCAAAAGCACTCTACATGATCTGCGGGCAACGAGACTCCTTTATCACAAAATATTTTAATTCCTTAACTCATTATTAATAGCAATTAGATATCTTTGAAGAAATAACATTGAAGTGCCCTGACAATAGCTAGCAATACAGGAAAATAGTAGAGAAGGACCAAGTTTATAAGTTTCTACTTGGTCTAAACAAGAGCCTTGATGATGTTCGTGGAAGATTTCTTAGCATCAAGCCATTACCCAGCATTCGAGAAGTTTTCTCTTAGGTCCGCTGTGAAGAGAGTAGAAGGAAGGTGATGCTAGGGACATCATGCAATCCACAAGAGAGAAAATTCAACCCTTGCTACACAAGGACCAAAATCCTACCAAGGTGGTGAAAATCAGCAGAAAATAGGTCCTTCGTGAAAATCCACAGAAGAAAGGTAACAGACCTTGGTGTGACCACTGTCAAAAGGTAGGACACAGAGGAAAATTGTTGGCAAATCCATGGGAAACTTGCTAACTACAAACCACGTTCTACTCGAAATCGAGAGTCATGAAATTTTGCCACCACCGAGACAACTCCAACACCCCCAAAATCAAGCCCATTCAGTAAAGAGCAGTTAGAAGTCCTTCAAAAAATTGTTTAGCAATCTCTTCAGAACACTGGGTCAATTGTAAGCACAGCGTTTGTTGCACAAAAAGGTAACTCTCTCAATGTTCTACTTGTGCAAAGTGGAAAAACAAGATCTTGGATTGTTGATTCAAGTGCATCAGACCACATGATTGGTGATGCATCAGTGTTCCATGAATACAGCCTATGTTCTGAAAACCTCAGCTCAAATAGCAGATCGGTAACTCTCTCGGGTAACCGGGGTAGGTTTAGTCATTATTTCAAAGGACATAACATTTAACTATGTTCTACATGTCCTTAATTTAGATTGCAACCTTCTATCTATTAGTAAAATTACGAGATATCTTAATTGTCCTACTAAAATTCTTTCCAACATATGTGAATTTCAAGGTTTGGATTCAGAGAAGAAGATTGGCAATACTAGGATGTGTGCTATTCTAGTAAAAGTAAAGAAAATACAATCATGTTATGGCACTATCGTTTAGGACATCCAAATTTCTTGTACCTCAAAAAATTGTTCCCTGATTTATTCAATAAAGGTTCCAAGTCTTATCAATGTGAAATTTGTCAATTTTCCAAACACACTCGCAATTCATATCCAAGTCAACCATACAAATCAACTCATCATTTTTCTATGATCCATAGTGATGTTTGGGGACCATCGAGGGCTAACAATATTACAGTTTGTAGATGGTTTGTTACCTTAATTGATGATAACACTAGAGTTACATGACTATTCCTCATGAAAGACAAGTCAGAGGTTAGTTCAATATTTCAAAATTTCCATAAGATGGTGCACTCAATTTCAAGCAAAAATTTAGTTGCTCAAAACAGATAACGGGCAAGAATACTATCGCTCAATTCTTGGATTTAAATCAAAGAATTATTCATTAGAGCTCATGTACTAAAACTCAACAAAATGGAGTTAACAAGCGGAAGAACAAACACTTGATCGAAGTTGCAAGATCTATTATACTAGCCTTTAATGTCCCGAAACATTTATGGGGAAAGGCAATCCTAACAATAGCCTTTCTTATCAATAGGATGCCTTCTCGAGTACTACAATTCCAAACCTCCTATCAAACACTTCTCAAAACCTACCATCATGTCCAAATCATTTCCTCCATACCAATCAAGGTGTTTGGATGTACTACCTTTGTTCATATACACCAACAACAACGCAGTCAAGTAGACCCTAGATCACTCAAGTGTATATTTCTTGGCTACTCACCTAACCGAAAAGGCTACTGATGTTATTCACCAACTACCAAAAAGTTTTACACTCTATGGATGTCACCTTCTTTGAGAATCAACCATTCTATCCTAAAGCCAATATTCAGGGGGAGAGTTCTAGGGAATATCAACTTTGGGAGATTGAGCCATCATCTGATCCTTCCTCTACTCGTCCGCCAATTCAAATTCCCATTTCAAAAAATTATTCTTCTTCTTCCAAGTCAACTAGTCATCTTGAGTCTCCAAAATCTCCTGAAACCGTGCAAAAGACAAAAGCTAAGGAAATGATTGTATACTCAAGGAGACCGAAATCTCAAAAGGAGATGGGTACCTATACATCTCCAACACAGAACCAAGATTTTGAACCAAATTCGAGGACTTTTGAAATTCATACAGGTAACACAATTACTGAACCTATATCTCCAATGATTTTCCTAGTGATGTTGATTAGCCCATTGCTATAAGAAAAGGTGTTAGATCATGTACTCAGCACCCTATTAGTAACTTCATTTCCTATGAAGGGTTGTTTCCTACTTATCGAGCACTGGTTACATCATTAACTAATGTTCATACACCGAATACCATCAAAAGAACACTCGAACAACCAAAGTGGAAGGCTGCAGTAATGGAAAAATGCAAGCACTAGAAAAGAATGGCACATGGAAAATTACTAATCTTTCTTGAGGAAAAAGCCCGGTGGGATGTAAGTGAATTTTTACTATCAAACACAATAGAGACGGAAGTGTGAACAAATTCAAAGCTCATCTTGTGGCTAAGGGGTTCACTCAATCTTACGGGAGTGATTATGAGGAGATGTTTGCTCTTGTAGCAAAACTAAATTCTGTCCATGTGTTACTACGATCACTTGCTGCAAACCTAGATTAGCCTCTTCAACTCGATATCAAAAATGCATTTTTGAATGGTGATCTCATGGAAGAGGTCTACATGAAGATTCCTCCAGGGTTTGACAAGCAAGACAATATCGACGAGGTGTGTAAGCTTCAAAAATCCTTATATGGCCTCAAACAATCTCCTCGCTCTTGATTTGATCATTTGACTAATGTTGTTAAAAAGAATGGGTTCTTACAATAACAATCCAACCACACTATGTTTGTCAAGCATTCACCAAATAGCAAGATTGCTATTATGATTGTTTATGATGACGATATTGTCCTCACAAAAGATTATGAAAAGGAAATAGTTGGATTGAAGACTCTTCTAGCTAAAGAGTTTGAAATAAAGGACTTGGAACAACTTCGACATTTTCTTGGCATGGAAGTAGCTCGATCAAGAAATGGTATTTTTGTTTCACAACGAAATTATGTACTTGATCTTTTCAAAGAGAAAGGGATACTCAGGTGTAAACAATGGATACTCTGATGGACCCAAATGTCAAGATGGGAACCGGAGATGGAAGTCCTCTTGCAAACCAAAACAGATACCAAAGACTCGAGGGAAAATTAATTTATTTGGCGCACACTAGACCTAACATTGGCTTCTCTGAAGTATGGTAAGTAGATTTATGAACAATCCTAGAAAGAGACATATGGAGGCAGTATACCAAAGCCTTCCATACTTGAAAAAAAATCCAGACCAAGGGTTAACTACAAGGTATTGTACATATGTGTCGGACAACTTGCTCACCTGAAGGAGCAAGAAACAAGCAAGGGTAGCTCCATGTAGTGTTGAAACTGAATTTAGGGCTGTCTCACAAGATTTGTGAATGAATTTGGCTTGAGAGAATACTACAGGAATTGATGAAGTCAACTAGAAATTCAATGAAACTATTTTGTGAGCAGCTATTAACATTGACAAGAACCCTGTTCATCATGATCGAATGAAACATGTAGAGATTGATCGGCACTTCATCAAAGAGGAGATTGAAGAAGGCACAGTCAAACTAGTATACACTCCAACAGAACATCAGACAACCGGCATTCTCACCAAGGCTCTTCATTGTGGCAATTCGAGAATTTGAAGTCCCAGTTGGGCATGATTGATATCTACCACCCAACCAGATTTGATTAGCTATCATTCACTTAGTATTTTGGTTGTTTCCTAAATAAAAAGGATTTGGTTCATTGACCAAATTCCTACTTGGTAGTTTCTATTTTTGTTAGAAGATTTTTAGGTGATTGGTTATTATCTCTAGGATATCATGTGATGTTTTAGCTATATATATCCTCTTGTACTCTAGAAAGTTTCTTAAGAATTCATAAATAAGATTCTCATGAATTTCTTCACGACCAAATGAAATTCTTGTAGTCTATCCCGAAAAAAAGAAACCCTTAAACGGTTCTAAAGTTTGAAAACTACACAAAAAGAAAAGTAAATCTATGAGCTAACCATCATTTAATTTAAACCAAACTTTCAAAACAACATAAATGAAGTCAATTCTTTGATTCCACATAGAAAATGACCTTCAGCTAAACAAGTATGATATAATGTTTCATCCTTGTTATAAAAGAAATGAGAAAGTACCTTGTATGTACGTATGACTAATCTCCTTTTCCATGTATCACGATGATTCTGTAGGAAAGTATTGACTAGTCCAAAAAATTGTTCCATAACCTGAAAAAAGTATTCACGAGGTTTACATTCAATTTAAGTGATGCACAAATGGGCTACCACTACTCGAGAAAAAGTACACTATTACAACAATCTTAGAAGGGAAAAGGGAAGATATCACAGCATGTTATTCATATCAGACTTAAGGCTAGTTTAAATAAACTTTTACATGATATTTATCAAAGCTATGAGCATCAACTCTAATCTGAAATTGGAAGTATGCCCTAAATAAATTGACCTATGTTTTGTTGCCAAAAAAGATATATATATATATATATATTATCTATATTCACTTGGAGAAAAACATTAGCGAAAACATTTTTATACACAATGCTAAAAGCAGTGGGAGGTAGATGTCAGGGTATGCATATTTGCTGCATGCTAATAGATTGTTATACTTTCCAAAGTATATAGATTCTAAGTCTGAGCACTATTTAGAGATTTAACTGAGTCACCAAGAAGATACTAAAACAGAAGCATAGAGAAAATTCCTACAGCATCTTGTCTTAGGTCATCATTCCCAGATTTTGCTAGCTGCTTGTATTTGCGACCATCAGAACCCAGGCATTCAACCACTTTTGGAACATTTACACCATTCATTACCCTGCTTATTCCATAAGTACCAATTAAGTGTTAGCATCTATTGTTATAATAGTGAAAAATATAAATAGTGATCTAATCTCAAACAGGTAATATTGCCAAACGCACATAACCGAGTCTGCCAATCCTCTGAAGAATGGAAAAGAGCCTTCACGGTATTGACAGCTATGGTCAACTGGAAAGCTGGCTGTCAATACAGGTACCTATCAAAATAGAAAAATCAAGGTTCAGCATCTCAGTGGCAGGATTCAAAGAGTGAAAGTTGCACTAAACAACTACTGATCATAGCAAGAAGCAAAAACAAGGTAACAGCTCAAGAAATATATCATTCAACCTACACAGATTCAACAAAGTAAAAAAAATCATTCAGATAAAACTGTCACAAGAAGCAGAATATGAGACTTTTTAGGATGACACTGCTCCAATTACAACAACATGAACCAAGTGTGAGTTAAAGAAGACCAAAAGAGCAATTAAAATATTTTCTAATTACTCCTCATAAAAAATGTGCTTTCAAATTCATATTCCACTTTTCAATGAAGTATTGCAAACTATAACAAACATAATCTTGATTCTTTCCAATTTCATATTTGTCTCTAAGCAGTTACTTAATAGTCATGTCACGCTGTCTTTTGCTACAACATCTGCAATATCCTTTTAGTAAGCCCAAAACTGGAGTCAGTCAAACATGGAGTGGGAGGGACACTTTATACGTATTAGTTTTCAAAAAATAGTTAAAAACCTACAGATGACTAACTAGTCAGTGAAATGGTAGTCGGCCAACAAAAGTGCCTAAAACCAAGATCATTAATAAAAAAGCATCTAGAAACTACAGCAAATTTAAAGTACCTAAACATGTGTCCTTCCATTGCCTAATTAATGGCTGTATGTTCAGACTTGCATGGTGAAGTTAGGGCATGATTCTAACTCATTAAATATACATAAACAAGTATTTGAGCCCATATAAGGAGAATAGATCTATTAATTGCTGTCTAAACATATTCTGCCTTAATTTTGTGACTTTGTGATTAATGAAAAAAAACTAACCTGAAACAGATATAGATAGCAATATTTTTAGCACAGAAAGAGCATAACTGATAACATACAGACCTCTTTGTATAAAATCCAACAATTCAAAAGTAATGAACCAGAAATAAGCACTTACAAGTTCCAGCTGTCGTACACTGCGAATTTCTCTCGGCAGTGGTAACTTTCTACTGGTGTCCTATCGAGAGAATTTTAATTAATTATTGGAGTGAAATTGAACTACAGCTTGCTCTAAAGAATAGAAATGACACAAACACTACATATTTGGAGTATCTGATAAAACCTCTCTCTTGGTCTCAAGTTCTGCAAGCTTGATATAGATCTCCACCATTTGTTTCATCTGACAAATATTGAAAATAATGATGACAAGTATAAACTAACACAATAACAACCATTGAGAAGAACCAAAAATAAAATAAAACAACAATCTAATCACCTGTCTGATAACAGGCCCATGATATGCTGATAATTCCCCTAAGAGGTTTTCTGCTGCAAGCTTTTTATCCACATCCACAACAAAAGAGTTCCTGCTACGCTGTTTGTCCTTGATACGATCACCATTTGCAAGAGCTAGAAGCTAGCATCAAAATGGAAAGAAAAATAAAATATTTTAAACAAAAATGTGTAAAATATATTTAGCTATAAAAATACATAGGCACTAAAATGTTACATAAAAGTTTCTCTGCATGTCCTGCTAGGACTCAAAGGTTAGGTAAGCCGTCTCTTTCTGCTTCAACCACCAGTTTAAATTCTTATAAGCTTCTTCCTTTCTATTTTTTTTTTAAGTTACTCAAATGATGTCTTGTGCAATGGAACTTTATTTTCCCAAAAAATGGCAGCAAGGTTGTTAAACTTACCTGGAAGATTGTATGGTACGGATGATCAATGGCCATTTTCTTCACAAGAGACACCAAGGCAAACTGCAAACGGATAATTCAGATTAGGAATTAAATTCGACTTCATAAAAAATTGAACACTCCAAGAAATGTAAAACCTGAAAATTATTAGGCACAATTCCATTTAGGCTTCCCATCCTTGAAGCAATTTGGTAAACCAGTGGAACAAATTTATAAGTCTGAACCTGCAAAGTCACAAGTATAATAGCTCAAATAAGATAAAAATTGTATTGAGAATATAATGGGCTACATATCAACTACATCTACATCAATATTGGCCGTGAACTCCCTGCCTCATCAATTGTTTTAAGCAAGTTATTGACGACATCTTGGCTAGATGAAAGACTGAACCACAATGATACAAGTCGAAACACCTGAAAATCGGAATTAATATTAATTATGGTAAGTTGGCTCTATATTTTCTCAAGGACACGAATCAGAAATTTTTGTTTTATTTTATGCACAAAATACTTAGATAGAAGCACATACCACTCTTACGTCATATTTGTCACCTATGACCAAGCAACATTTATATCCCTCCAAAGCTAGGCTGAGAAAATTGTCCCTGTCATCCTGGAAGGTCAAGAGAAGGATATAAAATATTATTATCTATACTGGATTAGAGAGCTTTATGTCAGTCAAAAGACAAATTACACCTGTGCAGTACCAAATAAAAAAGTACACCAGATATTCCATGATTATAGAGCAAAGCCAAATATTTTATCCTTTTGTCTCTCTCTAAGCAAGCTACATCAGATAACTTATAAGTAGCAATATCTGTCGGCTCAACAAATGCCTTTTTCCGCAGAGCACATGCAGAAATTCATTCTTAGATAGAACATGCTTCCTAAAAATGAAAAGAGTAAATCAGTACCTGCAATTTTTGTGCTTCTTCCTCATCCATTGCAAGCTGCTTTTTCAACTCTTGTATTTTCACCGAGTAGTCAATTTTGTCCCCCTAAAATATACCATCATCCAGGACAAGCAAAATGAAAGCATTGAATTTTTTAAACATCATAACAACCAATTACATAACATTCCAGACAGTTGCCTTGAATGGAAACAACATTGTAACGTACCTCTGTTGAACCTTTTAGCCGCCGAAAAAGGGCTTCTAGTTCTAATTTCTACAAAGTCAAAAGTTACACAAAATTCAGAGAGAAGCTCTCTTTGTATAAATGCATGTGTTCAATTGCTACCTTATGTTTTCTTAAATGCATTGCTGCTTGCCATTCATTGGAATTAAGTCTGTCCTCGTAACTTCTAAACAGTGCATCTGCATAATGTGCAAGGTGGAAATGAGTCTGACTTTGTCTTTCTGCAGTCTTCTTGTCAGCAGTCTTGTGACCCTCAGCAAGTGACACTGCAGGTTTTAGATACTTCTCGAAAATAGTTCTTGAGCTATATTTTCATGGCAAACATTAAATGAAGAAAAATAATCAGCATTTACTATAGATAAAATGGAAAGGAAAAAAGAAAAAAAGGAAAGAGCAATTGGTCAGAAGGGACAGTCATACCTGCTAGATCTAGTTTCTGCCAGCCACTTCCCGACCAATCGATATACATCTGATGCTTCTTCATTCAACTGATAAGTTTGCAAGATATATTTTCCAAGGCCGATAGCCATTTCATGCTGACCTTGAGCACGCAACAGCTTTGCTTCCTCAAGCTGCAGTCACACAAATATTTCAGAAAAGCCTGGTTCCACATTTTATTTAAACACATCTATGGTCACCCGATATGGAGGCATGCTATCATCCAAAATATAACATTAAGACCATTTATAACAGAGAATTCTACAGAAACCAACTCAATCACTCACCTAGTGAAGTGAAAAAGGAAGGTAGCATTGAATGATTTACTCCAGAATGAAAAGTAATGTTTTTTTTTTTTCCTTTTACCCTCTTTCTGTTTTCTTTTATTCTACTTTGGGGGATAAAGGCCGGAGGTTAATAAGCAAGTAGCTTTTAAGTTAATAGCATTAAGGTACACAGGTAAAAGAGAACAATGTGAGATAAGGCAAGCAGTTGCAGTCCATAGCTTTCACATGACAAAAAAGGTCATAAAGGAAGGGATAACATCATTAGCAGCAAAGATGCAAAATCTAAACGGAGGTATCATGCATCCTAAGTATATTAAAGAAACAGAGGGAAAACCTCTACTGGATGCTGAATAAACAACTGAACCAATTTTGAAAACCCAAAACATTAATTTTATGGCTAAAGGGTAAAAAAAGCCCTCAAACAAAAATTCAGTAATCATCCAAGCCTTTATTGTTTTATTGCAATCAATTAAGCCCTCAAACATCTATTTTCATCAATTGAGCTCTTATTAGACAAAAATTAGTTAACCATCACATCAATTTCCATTTAGTCAAAACCTCAATTGGAGTGAAAATAGATGTTTAAGGATTCAATTGGGTGAAAATAAATATTTAAGGGATCAATTGACTCAAAGTAGAAATTTTAGGACTTGAATGATTGCAATAAAATGTCAAAGACTTAAATGATTATTAAATTTTTATTCAAGGACATTTTTTACCCTTTTGCCTATTTTTATTGATAACCAAAAGATAAGACCGGTTAAAAGACTTTCATAGCTTGCTTCTGATTTAATAGAAAGTTAGATAATAACATGTGGTAAACCTAAACGCTAAACAAAATACTTTTAGGTAGCAAAGCCACTGTTGTTTACAATCTAGCCTACCTATAAATAGATAATAATACCATTAGATTACAAATTTAACCTAAGCCACAGCAAAAAAAAAAAAAAAAAAAAAGGCAAAAACTCTTACCAAAAACCAATAAGATCGTGTATTTATGGAGAACCAAATGCAACATGAACTACAACACCATGGTGATATAAATATCTTTCATCAAATTGTACTGTAAAGCAATACAGAAAGAAATAGGAAAAAATTACCCTTCCAAGCCAATATGGAGTTGAACCCTGTTCTCCAGTTCCCACACAAAGAAACTTAAATTCATGCAAAGCTGCAGCAGCTTGAGAAAATCGAGAGCCCTATACCACATTGAACCAATCAGACAAACAGAACACAGCATGGTTGCCTAGTACTCCAAATGGTTACCATACCTTACGAAGAGTGGAAGCAGACTGCAAAAGATGTTGCATTGTACAGTTGTCACAATTCAAGATTTGAAGTAGAACTCGCCTAAATGCAATAAATGGCTCTAATAAACTCATATGTAACTGTGATTTTGTCAACATGGAGCTCCAGTCCTTATTCAGCCACAACAACTACATCGAAAAATAAAAAACGTGTAAGACAAAGTTGGAAACAAAATTTCCCTTCAATTTTGACCCCAAAAAAGGTAGAAGTGCTCTATTAATAGAATAAATTGCAAGATTGGCTACAATCTTCTTCTAGCAAGGAGTCATGCAACATCTTTTACAGCATCATGTGATGAACCATGAAAGTATATTATCATAAAATGTTTTTAAAGTTTCTTCCAAACATCACAAGCCACCATGCACTAAGGTATATAAGACACATAAGGTCAATCCCAACAACTTTGTCAAAATAGAACTTCTAAGGCACATAATCTTATGAGACCAACAAATTTAAATCACTAAAAACTATTCACACCAATAAGTTCTTGTTGCCTTCATTTCTAGGCTATTGGGTTATTATCATATCACAACATCTCATTGATAGATGATGCATTAATCTTGCAATGTATGAAATTATATTACATGCAAACAACCCACATTCCTTCAAAGCCCAATGATACAACCAAAACTGTAGAAATCTAATTCTCATACATTAGTGCAGCTTGATTTCATAAACGCTTTCAAAACAAGTCACAAAGAGGTGATACTCCAACACAAACTTCCAAACAAGTCTACAACCTTTGGAACTAGTTTACTAGCACAAAAAGGTAATTTCCTAAACGCCTTAAGTGTTCAACGAGGAAATACACAGTCTTGGATTGTTGATTCAGAAGCATCAGATCACATGACTGAAGATGCATCCTTATTCAACACATATAGACCCTGCTATGATAGTTCTGCTATTAAATTTGCTGATGGCTCTCTCTCAAAGGTTGCAGGAACAGGTTCTATTGTAGTTTCAAAAGACATAACACTCGACTCTCTCCTCCATGTCCCTAATTTAAGCTATAACCTATTTTCTATCAGTAAGCTTACAAAGGATAGATGTTGTGTCACTAAATTTTTTTCCTGACTTGTGTGAATTTCAGGAATTGGGCTCGAGGAGGATTATTGGCAGTGCTAGGATGCGTGCAGGGCTCTACTTTCTTCAAGATGATGCACTTGAGAGATCCTAAAACTCTTGTACAACCTTAGCCTCTATTACTAGTAAGGATGACCTTATCATGTTATGGCATTATAGATTAGGACATCCAAATATTTCCTACCTAAAAAGGCTATTTCCCTCATTATTCAATAACATCTCTAAACATTTTCAGTGTGAAATTTGTCAACTTTCCAACCACACTCAATATATACCCTAGCCTTTCCTATAAATCATCTCAGCCTTTTTCAATGATTCACAGTGACATTTAGAGACCATCAAGAGTTAACAATATCAAAGGTTCTAGGTGGTTTGTTACATTCATCGATGATCATACTCGACTCACTTGGGTATTCTTTATGAAAGAAAAATCAGAGGTTATCCAAATCTTTCAAAACTTCATCAGCATAGTACAAACCCAATTCCAAGCCAAAATCCAAGTCCTAAAAACTGGCAATGGAAGGAAATACTTCAACTCTATTCTTGGCCCTTACCTCACCAAGCATGGCATAATGCATCAAAGCTCTTGCATTGACACTCCACAGCAAAATGCGGTTACTGAACACAAAAACAAACATTTGATAGAAGTGACCAAATCCCTCTTATTGACTTCCAATGTGCCTAAATATTTTTAGGGAGAAGCTGTCCTCACTACAACTTATTTGGTTAATTGAATGCCTTCTCGAGTTCTTGGTTTTAAAACACCTTGTCAAACTCTCCTTGCTTCCTACCCACAAACTCAGTTGATCTCTTCCATTCCCATCAAACTCTTTGGCTGCATTGCCTTTGTTCATATTAGCCAACAAAACCGCAGCAAGCTTGATCCCAAAGCCTTAAAATGCATCTTCCTTGGTTATTCCACAAACCAAAAGGGCTATAGGTGTTACTCACCCATCACAAAAAAATTCTATAGCTCCATGGATGTCACCTTCTTTGAGAATCTTCCATGCTACGACAAAAATGATATTCAGGGGGAGAATACTACTCAGGAACATCAATTCTTAGTTGTTGACTTGCCAATTTCCCAATCAACCCCTTCAAAACCAGATTCCCAACCAGCCCCTTCAAAACTAGATTCTCAACCTACCCAACCTATTAGCCATGCAGATTCCAAAACCCAACCTTTTCAGACAACTCTTGACTCTTCATACCTTAAGGTTATGCAAGAAAAAACAAAAGAATGGATAGTCTAATCAAGGAACCAAAAACTATAGGAAAAAGTGGACAACTGTACACAGCCCAACAATAAAAATCAACCTGATCTAAGTCTCCAAGAACCTGAAACTAACACAGGTAATGTCCATATTGAATCTGAAACTGAAACTTGTGAGCCAACTGGTGACCTTGACATTCCTATTGCATTAAGAAAAGGTGTTAGACTATGCACCCGGTACCCTATCTGCAGTTAAATCCAAACTTTCAAGCCTTTACTACTAACCTTGACAATGTGCAAATTCCAAAAAATATTCCATAAGCCCTCAATGAACCAAATTGGAAGGCAGCAGCTCTTGAAGAAATCAAGGCATTAGAGAAAAATGGGACATAGGAAATTTCAAATTTGCCCAAAGGGAAAAACCCGGTTGGATGTAAGTGGATCTTCACAATAAAGCACAATGTAGATGGAAGTATAAACAGATTCAAAGCTAGACTTGTTGCAAAGGGGTTCACTCAATCCTATGGGGTAGACTATGAGGAGGCAGCAGCTCTTGAAGAAATCAAGGCATTAGAGAAAAATGGGACATAGGAAATTTCAAATTTGCCCAAAGGGAAAAACCCGGTTGGATGTAAGTGGATCTTCACAATAAAGCACAATGTAGATGGAAGTATAAACAGATTCAAAGCTAGACTTGTTGCAAAGGGGTTCACTCAATCCTATGGGGTAGACTATGAGGAGACATTTGCTCCAATAGCCAAATTCAATTCAATTAGAGTTCTATTGTCACTAGCAGCCAACTTGGATTGGCCTCTCCACCAACTTGACATCAGAAATGCATTCTTAAATGGTGGCTTGGAGAAGGATGTCTACGTGGAAATTCCCCCTGGTTTCGAAAGGCAAGACAACATGGGCAAAGTGTGCAAACCCAGGAAATCTTTGTATGGACTCAAACAGTCTCTTCGGGCTTGGTTTGAACGGTTGACCAAGGCAATGAAGAGGTATGGATTCCTTCAATGTCAATCTAACCATACTATGTTTGTTAAGTTCACTAATGAAGGAAAAAGAGTTATTCTTATTGTTTATGTGAATGAAATCATAAACACCGGAGGCCACAAGGAAGGAATAGATGATTTGAAGAAACTCTTTGCAAAGGAGTTTGAAATAAAGGACTTGGGGTTCCTTAAATATTTCCTTGGGATGGAGATGGCTCCTTCTAAGAATGGAATATCAGTGTCTAAGCGTAAGTATGTACTTGATCTACTCAAAGAGACCAGCATGATTGGATGCAAACTTGCCAATACACCCATAGAGTCAACTAATAAAATTGGAAGTGAAAATCGAGGCTCTCTTACAGAAAAAGCGCGATACCAAAGACTAGTTGGGAAGCTTAGTTACCTCTCCGACACACAACCTAATATCGGGTTTGTAGCAGGGATGGTGAGTAGATACATGAATAATCCAACCAAAGAGCATCTCAGCTGTTCATCACATCCTACAGTACTTAAAGAAGAGTCCTGGTGAAGGTCTATATTTTAAGAAGTCAATGGACAATGCAGTCGAGGTGTACACTGATGCTAACTGGGCTGGATCAATAACAGATAGAAGGTCCACTACTGGATATTGCACTTATGTTTGGGGCAATTTGGTCACTTGGAGAAGTAAAAAGCAAGCTGTTGTAGCTAGGAGCAGTGCTGAGGCTAAGTTTAGAGCAATGTCCCATGGTATTTGTGAATGAATTTGGCTGATGAGGTTACTTGGAGAATTAAAGTTTAGACTGTGACATCTATGACACTGTTTTGTGACAATAAGGCTACTATAAGTATTGCCAAAAATCTTGTTTATCATGATAGGACGAAGCACATAGAGCTGGACTGACATTTCATAAAGGAAAAGATAGAAAATGGGTCGGTGAAACTGGCCTATATCCCTACAAGTTCACAAATTGCAGATATTCTGACTAAAGCTCTTCCTAGAAGCACTTTTGATGGATTGAAAACCAAGCTGAGTATGATTAACATTCATAGTGCAAATCTGATTCTCCTACATTAGTGCAGCTTGATTTCCTAATTTATTTTGGACATATTTCTCATTTACTCTTCTGATTTCGTCAACTATTCTGATTGTCAAGTTTTTAGGGATTTGTTTCTATTTTAAAATAGAATAATTTAGATGTACTCCTTCATTGTAGATTGAATAAGAAGAAATAAGGACAATTGTTCTTTAAGTTTCCTACAAAAACTACTGTAACAGTGTTCATTTTCTTCTTTCCTTCCAGCCCTCATCTATAGAAGAAAAGTAGTGCAACCAAGATACATATGGGTAAAAACAAGACTATACAGTAAATAACAAACACTTGTGGACCAAATCATTTTTAATCATAAAAGTTGAATTTTATAATGAAAGGAGAGCAGACAGTTGCCATTCATAACTCATAAGTTGATTGCCACAGCTATGGTATATAAGGTAGCAGAAGCAATACCTGATCCATTGTAGGGATTATAGGATCTGAAAACATTTTCTTCTTATGTTTCTGGAGTTTTATTCTTTCATATGAAGATGTTGGCCAGCGTATTTCCCATGCTATACCAAGATGATACAGGATCTGTAAGAAAGGATTGGTCACGTTAAAGGGATAAAAAATAAAGATGAACTGCAAGATTTATTTTTTCCCCTCGTTTAAGTCAACAAATGGGGACCACATATGCCCAGCACTGATTCAGGATTTCAGTTTCTAAAGCATGTCAAAGCTTTACAAAGAGTTCTGCACATGATTTAACTGAACTTTATATTGGCCAAAAAAGGAATAGAACTGACAGATAAAAGTATATTTCTGCTAGTAAAATTCTAAATAACTCACATAGAAACACAGGATTGTGCACAAAGCAATTCAAACTTAGTAGATGTTTTAGCTTTTCACATGCTACCATAATTGACCTATGAGAGATGTTTTTTCTTCATACTGGATGGGGAAGAGTTTGAGGAGGGACAGGCAACAATAGTCAGGCCATTTGATCAAAAAAAAAAAAAATCTATTGAACTGACGATACTATCAGGGTACAGTAATATTGCTACAAAGCCCAAATCTAGTATACGGAAAATATTAGACTGCCTTTTGGGCAACGAGTAGAAACTATCGCTTGTGAAAATTTCCATATCAATAGTGTAACAATATTGAGGTACCTGAAACTTTATTATTGTTGAGTAGATAAACTCCGTGCTTTCCTCACTTGCATGAGAAACAGACCAAACAAGCTCCTTAGATTGTAAAAACCAACAAATGACTGTCAATAGATCATCAATGTGAAGCACCCTGAAAATCAAAACATATGTGAAACTAGCATAACCTCTTTTGAATGCTTCAACTTTCTCTGAAATTCATCAGAATCTCCCTCCTGCAATGCTCTCAGACAACTAACATTCCACCAAGTGGAAACAAAAACATTATATAAGAAACAAATGCATAACAATATAGGTAAGCTCAACACTATGGGCAGAAACAATTAGGTTTAACAGTTTTATAGTATAGCATAAAAAATCTACTTGATGTAGCAGTTCAGTTTTAAAATCTAGACACTTCGATTGTCATTAGTTGAAAACAAAGCACATAGGGGAAAGCCTACACTTGGAAAACATTTAAACCTCAATAAACTTGGATGTTAAAAGTGCAAGAGAACAAAACATTGACAGCCTCAACCTAGCAACTCAGATATATAGGGCTGCAGCTTCTCCAACGTGATACAGATCAGCTAGCAGTGTTTTCTTTTTCTTTTTTTTTTAAATAAAATCAGCTGACTCTGTATTAAATATCTATTAGTAGTAACATGTCAATATACCTATAAAATATCAAGACATCAACAAGTTTACTTGCCTTTTGCTTTCTTCTACCATATTAACCAGAAAAAAGAAAAAGAAAAAGAAAGAGAACTAATTTCAATGTTAATATGATACATTTAAAAAGAACTTCAACCAACTACTCAGTGTAAAAGCCTATCAAAAAAGTAATGTACCCCTTTACTCCTTTTTCTTTTTCCATATTAGCCCACTTTTACCCTTTTTTTTTTCTTTTGGTTCTGTTTTTTGTCAAGGTGAATCACTCAAACCATCATATTCATGTAAACCTGTTGGCAAACATTCTCAGATGCTCATGCTTAAAACTTGGCTTTTGTTAAGGTCTCTAAAGCTAAGGAGTAGTCATCAAAAAGTTTATTAAGTTTACTTTCATCTCATTCAGTCTCCTTTAAATAATATTATTTAGTGAAATTAATAATTCCTTTATGGACCTTTAAATCATTGTACTCAATGATATATCCCAAATATTCATATGAAAAGTTTTTGATCAATCAAGAATTGTTCATTTTATATCTTCAGAAAAAACAGAACTCAATAATTCAGAAAAGAAAGAAAACAAAGTTTGAGTACAGAAAATGTATCTCCACTAACAATGCATCCAGATCTTGTATCTAGATGTAAAAACAATATCGGTATAGAATTTATGAATCCAATTTGGAAAAAGAAAAATATTCAAAAGGAAACTGTTAGTTACCTATGCAAATTTTCGTTGAAATGATGAGTTTTAGGATGTTGACCTGTAGAATGAGAACTCGCTCCTGTATAAAGTAAAGAGAAATCCCAGTTTCCTGCACGCCAAGCGGCCTCATACTGCAAATATTTGCTCAGACAAAGAGTGGGAAAGAGTAAGAAAAGATTACATCCAGACAGAGAGCAAATACATAGTTAATCAACCATCCAAACAAAGGGAGACAAACTAGATAATATCGTTATAAACCTGCAATTCTGTGAACTCTAAATCCTGCTGAAACTGACCCCTCCCAGAAGTTAATCCCTGGCAATACAGATCCAGCACATGCCTACAACCAATTTGCTGCAAAGATCTAATCAGCCCTTTGTAAGGTTTCCTGTTTGTCTCATCTTCCAATGTGGAAAGGGAAGAATGAGATAACGATTGGATCTCTGCCAATGACAAAGTTCTAGAACTGCCATCCACATGAGCTGTGGCTTCCAAGCGCACTTGTAAGTCATAATATTCAAGGGCCTTGTTCCAGTTTCCTTCATGCTCGAAGGTAATTATTTGGGAGGTCAGCTATTAAAGCAAAATCCAAACAAAAAAAAAAAAAAAGAAAAAAAAAACCAAGAGGGTTTAGACAACTTTTAGGCTAACAATTTTTCTAAATGTATATGCAAACAACAAATTTATAAACTCAACATCATTTAGACTCTTCTTATGAGGATGCATACCACAGGAAATTTCCTAAAATTGAGTTGACAAACACTACAATTCAAAAAATTTTCTCCACGTCAAAAACAAAGTCAGAGAAGAAATTTTCTAGAGTAAGTTGGCAAAAGGTTAGTTGGTCTGATACACAAATTTGATTCACTTTTATTCATAATATTCCAGAAAACTTCACTAAGCAATTAGTTTCCAACATAATTTTTCACAAAATGGACAAATAACATTAAGACATGTTACAAATCTAGACATATCCTATGTAGTTTGACTAATCTAATTTGCTAAGCATAGTGTAAGCATACAAAAATTAGATGCAAAAACCATCACACAGGATATGAATTATACAATATACATCGAACAGAAAGCTAGAAACAAATCATAGGAACTAATTGAGCACTGCATGGACTACGTAGAAAAAAATCATACGAACTAATTGAGCAGCCTATGGACTATGTAGACTAACTGTGTGTGACTGGATAATCCCATATAAGCTGTCCGGTTCATTGATTTGAGTGATTGCCAAGATAAGAATTTCAATGTGCTGTGGTAACTGCAGGGAATGACAATAAAAGCGGAATGGTTAGAAAAGGTATTGACCCATGGCAGCTAAATAAGAGAAACACGAACCAAATAGAAAATTGACTCTATGAGTTCCATTGTTCTTTGTACTGTTCTACAAATAACTGCCAGAAACAGACCTAAGCTTTGCAGCATATATGCTTTGTTAGTGTCTTATTTTCAAGTTTAAAAACATAAAGCACAGACTTTCTCCATGAGTTACCATCTCAAGATTGGAAAAATCAGGGTTCCCAAGGGTGAGGCTATGAAAATGTTCTTCACACCAATACTCCACATACATCATGGATGTAAAGTACGAGCCACAAATCTATAAAACGTAAACGTTCTGTCAGAGAAAAGTACATATAATTCCAAAATGCATAAAAACAAATGGAAACCATTAAAAGGAAACGGAGTGTGAAGGTTCAGATACTCACAATCGCTGACCTAGCAGCAACGAGATAATCAATAGAAAGCCAATACACCTGGCCAAATAATACATCATCTCAAAATGAAAAATCAAGGGAGCAACAAAGCAAGGCTAAAATAAACCAAACACATCCGGATTCTAGAATTAGAGGCCCCAGCAACTTATGGTCAAGTGAGCAAACAATTTCCACAATCAACTCTAGGTAGAGTAACAACTGCCCTTAAATCACAATGATGTGCATTCGAAGCACCTTAACTGAGTTCTATTGTCTGCTTATCAATCTCCGTTTGGACCTCTCAACAAATCAATACTCCTTACATGTGAATATAACGATCTTCAAACTTTGAGTAATGATAGCAGCTGATGCACACTCAGGTAGGACTAAGTAGAAGCTATTTAACATCACCAATAGAGGGAAAAAGCAAAAAATAGATCCAGACAAGAAAGCTAAAAAGTTCCACTTTTATGTCCTTCCTTCTTGATTTTAATGAGCTCCCAGAAACACTATTAAGTATTACCAGAAATAAGTTCTAATATTTTTCCAATTGAGTACCAATTTTCTCCTTTTCCAACTAGTTAAATGAAATCCAAAGCTAAAAATAAGGTCTAAACTCTCTCTCTCTCTCTCTCTCTCTCTCACCACATGCATTACCAGTGAAATGCTTCTCCTCCACCGGAGTAAACTTCTAGCTAACCATCCCTTTCAATAATAAACAAAAACATTAGTATATTGCTCTTAGTAAACATTTCCATTAGCACTACCCATAACATCCACTACCAGAACTTAGCAATGATCACATATATGAACGAAAATTTCAGTACGAAGCATGCAACAATGAACAAGTTCAAGTAATATTTAACGCTTGTGCACCACTTCTTAGATCAAACTTATATTTTATTAAGCCAAATAGAAAATTATTAATTCCCTTTCAAGATGCCCAAGGTTACAAGACACGGTTCTTTCCATAAACAGAACCTAATAGAGTTGAATTATATACAAGTTTTACACAAGCAGGAACTGAACAAAATGACTCACTAATCAGGTAATTCTCCATGTTGTATTTGGATCTACTCAAAGTGCTAGGGCATCAAATGTATTCATTATATGTTTGTGCACATTATAAAGTAGAAAGAAAACCTTGTTCCATGAAGACGTTGACATGGCCATTGCACTCAATGTAGCTGCTGAATCCCTAGTTTTCATGGAGAAAAGGGATCTTGAGCTATAACTAGAGGGCTTAGCATGCTGCAAAATCATCACAAAACTCACATTAGATTATAGATAGCATTGGTAAGCATGCAAACATAAGATAAATTGCCATAAATTGAAGAATTTAATAGGTCCCCAACCACTAATGTTTTTATTTTGGCCAACCAAACCACTAATGTTGACCAGCACTAAAATGTCATATATTGATGGGTCATTTACATTTGAGTACAGATATGCTATTGGATAATCTCGTGTGTATGAAGTAAAAAAAACTTCACTTGCAACCACGGCTGCTCAGATTTGACTCTTAGTGGCAGTTATGTACCAAAATTCACACCCTCCTAAACTGGTCTTACAGGATCCACAACTAAACAATGAATGATACAAATTCTTAAATTAATATATGATCAAATAATTACACATGTTTTTGACTCTTTACAGAAAACTAAAAGTTTTGTGACAATGTTTTTCAATCTAGGACTTTCCATCAAGCATAAGAAACTATCCCTCTCAGCCCTCATCAACTGTAGATTAGACAAGTAAAAAAGCTACCATAACAATATCTTGAATGAAGCAGTATAGAAATAATTATAAATAATACAAATAAAAGTAAATTATGTTATTCACTAATTCTATCTAATTTCATGTAACTGAGGCAACAAAAGCATAGCATGCATCACATCCAAACAACCAAAGAGGAAATCTGATACATGCACCTTAGAACTTTCCTTTTTTTCCTTTTTTAATGGCCCTGAAGATCTTTCCAGAACATAACAAAATCGAAGTTCATTAAGGGCATTAAGCCAAACTTGAATAGACTTTATCAACTTATTAGACTCCACAAATATATGCTCCTGAACCTGCACATTAAACAAAGCAAAAGGTCCAACTTCTTGTTTACAACTAAGTTCATACATTGCAACTTAGGCAAAAAAGATCCAAAGACATCATAATACCAGCATTAACAACTAATACTAATCTAAGGTCAATTTAGAAACCATTACAACATAGAGTATCAGTAAAATCATAACTAAAACTGAAAGAATTTAATGGGCTATATGCAACAGAATCAAGAGTCAGACACTGTCAGTGGAAATTTATAACTGAAAGATAGCATAGAAACAAAATGAAAGCAGCAAAATAGTCCTGTAGTTTATTTTCATCAGTGATGAATGATGATCAGCCAATTGCACAGAGAAAAGCTATATCTCATGCATTCAAGTTACAAGCATCCATCTATATCATACTTTAGCATCCAATGACACTTCATCTAATTGCCATTTATTCTGTATAACTCATGTTTCCTAGTCCTCATGAAAATCCAATGAATTATAACTGCGCCTCTGGCAAAGCATATGCAAAAGGCTTTCATCTTGTGTTCATCTTGCTGTTAAAAGATGCCACATTACTCAAACTGGTTTTACTTGACACCTTCAGGCCCCATTTGGCATTAAGGTGAGAACAGGCTTTTGGCCTAAAAACCATGTTTCACCCTTACATCAATGCCAAACGGGTAATAATGTTGGATTTTGAATAAGAAAAAATTAGTGTCCTGGCAGCAACGTAAAAGATGTTTTTTAGTCAAAAACAGTAGCTTGTGACTAAAATTAACTTTTTATCCATATATCTCTGATATTTTATTATTCCATGCACATCTTTTTGGACATTTTAATTCATCACAGCTCCATTTAACACCAATACCAAACACTTAAAACTCTTAACCGCACTTTTTCTCACTGCAATTTCAAAAGCACTTTTTTCCAACCCAAGCTTTTTCCAACTTCAACAACAATACCAAACTAAGCCTTAATTTGCTTTTGTAATAACTCATCCACTATTATAAATAACAGCATCAAAATGCTTGAGCTTGAGTATTGAGAACTAAGGATAGCATATCATGCATAGCCTTGTTGTTCTCATATTTTTTATTTATTTTTTACTAGATAGAAACATAGCATGCCTACTTCATACTCTAATGGTCTCTCCAAAGAAGTGTACAGATTCTTCATACTCTATTACTCTAATCAGCTCTTTGAGCTATTGCCTCCCCAAAAATGACAGAATGAATTAGAAAAGCAAATACATGAAATATAGAAAATATACAATAACATGCAGTAAAAAGGTACGAGCCAAGCAGAAAGGAAAACCCTGGCATAAAAAAAAAAAAAATTGTGGGAAAACATTTAGTTACAAGTGATTGTATTTTGTAATCTGCTGATTGTAATCCGTATATATCTGCATCCCTAAAATTGAGAATTTGTATATCTAGAATTAAGGACAGAATATCAGGATAGACAATTCCTTGATTATAGGGATTAGATTTAGGAATATTTAGTTTCCTAGTTTACTCTCTAGTTAGTTGTATTTAAATCTATGGTGTTTGTATGATTCAATATACAAGTTTTTCAATATACTCTCATTTTTCCACAAAAAGCAAAAAGGAAAACTAGTAAAAATCAATCTCGTTTAAGAAAAACTTCTGTTAAAACTTTAATATGAAACCTGACAAGAAATCAACTTCTGAATATCCACATCAATATCCTTTCTTCCAGCTAAATTGACAACAATACTGGGCAACAGAAGCTCAGCAACCTCAGGTTTCAGCAGTACAATATCCTGACATAATCTGAAACATAGCACCTTAAGCAAATGAAAATTCAAGCACACAAGCAAGAGAATAAAATCAGAATTATGGATTATAATGATAAATTTGGATCAATTTTAAGATTTTCAAACCCTTTGATATATAATTCATGAATTTAAAATCCTTTGTTTGGATAAACATAGGATTTGAAAAAGATTTAAAACAATCTTAGATTTGGGAAGAAAGAAGATTTTAATTGGGCTCAATCAGACAAATGCATACCTAAAAAGTAATTTGAAACCCTACATGTGGACCCTTTTAAAAGTCCTAGCGGGTCAAAATCAAATTCTACATTTTTAAACCATTCCCCAACCATATATTTAGATTTTATAATCCAAATATCTTAAATGCATATTCCTAAACGTATCATAAAACATTTCTCTAGATACAAGAAAACAGTACCTTAGGATCACATCATTGCAGTAGCCAACCAATGAGTAAACAAGTGGACATATCCACATTTCAAATGTTTTACCATGCGTCACCCAAGTGGTAGACTTCTCCAGAAAAATGTCTTCAGCTGTAATAACTTAGAATGAATCATTAGACATTTAATGGCTAAAGAACATAGATATAGGAAACCAAAAGCAAATTTATATTATTTATCCTGGAAAGCAAAATCAAGCAAAATGGTCTAAAAAAATTGGACATAGTAGTTTGAGCTAAAGATAACAGAAGGCACCACAAATGCTAGGTCCCTACAAGGCATAATAATGTATCTGTCCTACTCTTAACCAGAAACATATTAATAGCATGATTTTCGATCTACCTGACCTAATGCATACTCCCCTAATTGTTTTCTTTATAATTACACTCGTTTTTTCCTGTTAATAACACTTCTTGTGAAAATCTAATCTTCATTATTACTTGATTAATTGACTTTATCTATTTTAGTTAAGTCTTTTTAGAATACGAAGTGATTTGGGTAATTACACCAAATCCATTAGATATTTTCCTATTATGTGTAGAGAGTAAATTACTCATTTGATTAGCCATTTTAATGCATGAAAATCTTGGGTTTTAAAGCTGAGAATATTCAGTCTTTAGCCTATATATTTTCATGCAATTCTAGCATTGTAATAAAAATATATATATATAGAAGAATAAAATAGTTTTGTTCTAGAGATTTCTTCATGGTATCAGAGCACGATCTAAACCCTTGAAAATTTTCACTCGGAGTCCAACATGGCCAGCGGAGAGGAGAGCCCAGCGTTGGAGGTTACCTCGAACCCTGGAGCTAGCATTTCTCAATCACCGCAAAACATTACCACTCCTATTCAAACATGTTCTTTAGCACAACAAGATAATTTTTTAGTGCATTGAGTGTAAAACTAGAGAAATCAAATTCATGAACAACCCTATTGAGGAACACTTGAGGGCTATGTGTCAAATCTTATAGTACCTAAAGAAGAGTCCTGGAAAAGGATTATTTTTTAAGACCTCACGCCGAAAAGTTGAAATTTACACTGATGCTAATTGGGCTGGATCCGTTATTGACCAAAAATCAACTATTGGTTATTGTACCTATGTGTGGGAAATTTTGGTTACTTGGCGAAGCAAGAAGCAACCTGTGGTGGTTAGAAGTAGCACGGAAGCTAAGTTTAAAGCTATGTCTCATGGTATATGTGAGGGAATTTGGCTGAAAAGATTGCTAAGGGAGTTAAAAGTCTTTGCAGAAGAATCCGTAAAGATATTCTGCAACAACAAAACTGTCATAAGTATAGCAAAGAATCACATTTATCATGATAGGACTAAACATGTGGAGATTGATCGTCACTTCATCAAAGAGAAGATAGAGGAAGGAATTGTTAGATTAATTCATGCTCCCACATGCCTCCAAACTGCAGACATACTAAGGCTTTCTCTCGAAACAACTTTGAGAATCTGAAGTCTAAGCTGGCCATGATTGACATCTACCACCAAGCTTGAGGGAGAGTGTGGAAATCTAATCTTCATTATTACTTGATTAGTTGACTTTATCTATTTTAGTTAAGTCTTTTTAGAATAAGAAGTGATTTCGGTAATTACACTGAATCCATTAGATATTTTCCTATTAGGTGTAAAGAGTAAATTACTCCTTTGATTAGCTATTTTAATGCATGAAAATCTTGGGTTTTAAAAATGAGAATATTCAGTCTTTAGCTTATATATTTTCATGCAATTTTAGCACTGTAATAAAAAATATATATAGAATAAAATAGTTTTATTCTAGAGATTTCTTTACTTATCTTGATGAAAAAAGAAAGCTTGTTTTCATTTTGGAAAAGTGATCATTAATCACCCAATACCCCCAAATAAAAGTTTACACTGATGACAAAATAATTAATTTCTTCATGTCTAAGAAAATCTAAAATATAGCCAAATAATAATAATAATAATAATAATAATAATAATAATAATAATAATAAAACCTACGAGACAAGATCTATTCAACATGCAAAGCCCACATAAAATTTTTTAACAGAAAGAAACAATCTTCATTCATTTAGCAATGCACTACCTTTAAACTTCCTTTCTAGATCCATCAACAACTTTTCCACCAACTCAAAGTTAATGCCCCTAGAATGAACCTGCAAGAGAGGAAGATCATTACTTGAACCTATGAGAGAGGAAGATCTAAATAAAATTTTCATCAAATAAAATACACTTATCAGGATAATGAAAGGGACATATCATAATTAGCAAGAGATTATTAGCAGCAGCCAGTTAGGTACAACAGATATGCAATATAGGAAGCATTGTGAGCATTCAAAACCTGTGCTAAACCTTTTTTTCCTAAATATACATCAACAAGTGCGATTCCATCACTGTGCAAGAAGGCAAAATCAGATTCCATTCAGATGCAGCATCATTTCTATCTGACTCAGCCACATGTGACCATATATGTCATACATCTGACTTAAGCATGCTTCAGTTGTGCATGATGCTTCCGTTATTCTATTCCAGCTAAATTATGCACAACGGTAACATCTATATATCGTGCAGTATCTAAGACATGCAAATATTCAATCTACATGCATTGTAACAAAAGCAATTTCACAAATCATATCTCACAGAAGCCAACCGAGCTTGGCTCAGCAGCATTTTCCATTGCCTCCTAATTAAATACTGGGTACCACTATTTAACTAGGAGACATAGGAGATACAGATCAGATTCAAGTCCATACATCCTCATCCAGCCAGGTGGAGTTAGATGGGGCAGGGAGGTTGTTCACAGTAGCTTAGGGATTACACAATGTCAAAAAAGAACAACATTCTAATCTGACAGAATTTTCAACTTGGACAAAACTTTCAACCATATAAGACATGCCATATTCAACCTAAAAAAGAGAATAAAACTAATGTAGATGGAAATCTTATAGAAGTCATCCATCCATGTGGAAACACTGCAATGATAAGATTCCAAATCATAATTTTAAGGAACTTATAATGTTAGAATTAAACATGTTCCTCCTATCCTCAATCATAATTTTAAGGAACTTATAATGTTAGAATTAAACAGCATAATTAGCAAACAAAAAAGAAAAAAAAGAATAGAATACTTACTTCAATCAGAGATCTTTCATAAGAATCAAATGATAACATAGCTTTTTGACCCCTTTCAGTTGACAGTATTCCCTATAGGGGAAGGGAAGGATGCCGGAAAAGAAATCAACAAGATTCTCTTTTTACTATCAAAGAAGTTTAAAGTAACATTTTGACAAAGAGAGAGAGAGAGAACATAAAATATTATTAACGAAAGCAGAAAACCAAATATGAGAGGAAAGATAATAAGTCAGAGTGATTCATTCCCACAAAAAAAAAAATGGCAAAATAAGAGATGCAACTACTTTTTGAGAATTAGGCCCAAGACAATCATTTTAATGAACTCACCATCACCAAGGATTTTACTATCTTAACAAGGCCACACACCTTTCACTGATCTTATCCACTCAAAAATTACTTTTAGTCATAGTCTATAAGTGCATTGGCAGTTAATATTCTCAAGTAACAAAAGACATAATTTTCACTCTGTTAAGATTTAAATTATTTTTATAGGCAACATACCGAGTTTATAACATTTATGTTGTCATTACTGCTTACCTAGTCAAAAAAAATATGCTCACTAATAAAAAAAGAAAGAAAAGAAAGCCATTTAATTGGACTTAAAAATGGTAAACTTTACCATAAGGAGGCAAACAGATCTGTATGGACTCACCTGAAGAGTTTGTGATGTTATATCAACTATTTTAACAGAATCATCCATTAAGTATTTCTTCAAAACTTTCAAAAGTGCAATTAGAAGTTCTTCAGATATGCCAGTATCCATAGAAAAAATTATTTCAGAAGAACCACTATGACTAATGGGTCCACAAACATGCATATTGTTAGAGTCTCCAGGTAGATGAAAAACAACAGAGTGTGGATCTCCAATGCCAACCTACAACCACAATCAAGTAGGGGAAAATCTTGTAAACTCTGACACAAAGCATCAGATAATGAAGGTGCAAGCAAATCTAATATAAATACCCTGGATATGAAATCAGACACCAATCCTCTAATCATGCTTGTGTCATCAGAGGAACACATGCGAACAAGTGTCCAAACTGCATGGACAATTTCACTGTCACCATACCAATATGTATCATCCACAAGTTCTTTAGCACTCTTTCCCGCCTGAAATGTTTCCCCTGCAAGTAGCTTCTTGTGCAGTGCTTGTAGACTACAAGGGCCAAGAAACATGAAGCATCTTAGCAGCAGCATAAGATCACAAAATTCCATTCTCAATTTAGAGTACAACAACTTTAAAAGTTTTGAAAACAACCAATTTATAAAGTCTAACATCCAAAATTCGACTGAGTGCTTTAGTATTAAGAGGTTTCTTTCTTTTTTGCATCTCCATGCTAACTTAACTACCAAAAGGTACTTATATAAGCTTCCATTTGAAAAACCAAGAACATAGAAATGTCCGTTTTGAAAGGACAACCACCTCCATGAAAGTAACCTCGGCGGAAGGTAGCAAGATCTCTTCACAAACTGTAAACAAGCAAAAAAAAAAAAAAAAAGGAGAAGAAGAACATGAAAACTATAGTGAGAAACTATCCAGTCATACAATAATACAAATAATTTAATTTGAATTCAGTCTTACCTTCAATAAATGGTCTCTTGGAGAGTACGCTCGGCACAAATCCTGGTGGAAGTTTCTTATTCCTTCAAAAATATCTATTTCAGGAAAGGGTTCCAATTCCTGAAATAGGATAACTCCATATATAAGTTAAAGCATATAGCTTCCAGAAGTTCAAAAGAGAACCATTAAACTGTCTGCCTCTTCTCTTCACTTAGCAAAGATATCATACAAAACAATATCACATATGCATCTGGAAAACTTCTAAGCACAAAAGTCCAATTAAAGTACAATTACAAGAAACTCCACTCCACAGTAAGAAGCCAAACAAACATACTCTTATATAATCATAAAGCAATGGATCCGAATCCACAGTTAGCTCAAGGAGCAAAGATAAAACTTGAGATGATACAGATGCAGAAGGTTGCCCATCAGCTTCAAGAGGAATGCAACACGCTACTAACTTTGATACCAAAAACTGCAAAAGAAAATGAATTGAGAACAGAGATTATTCACCAAGTTAATATATCGTAAGCTTTAAAGGGTTCAGAAAATAAAATACCTGGAGTTGTTCACCAAGCACACCAACAATTTCCTTAGATGGGTTGCTTTTAAAAGTTTTGAGTAAGGCAGAAATTATACGACAGCATTGATCTTGTAAAGCATGACAACCAATAAATTGCCCGATCAAATTGAAAAGATAACTGCACTAACTCAGAAACGATTCATATGAGGATTCAAGTAACTACAGGACAGGAGTTTAAATAATAACTATACAAGCTCAAATTAGTACATATTACAGACTGAAATTCTTCCACAACCTCAAAGACATTTCTGAAAAGCCAAGCACCAAAAAATCACCAATAAGCTCAGTTATTTTTAAATTGCATTTGAGCAAGTGCACAACTATTCTGCAATGTAACTCTGAGGGGAGGACACTTTAAACAAACAAATAGAAATATGGGAAACAAGGCAATAATCTAAAAGGTAAAAAGCATTTGTCCAAACAACCTAAAATGGCAATCAACTCAACATAATAATTCTAGTAAGGTATTATAGAAATCAGATTCTCCTACATTAGTGCAGCTTGGTTTCCTAATTTATCTTAGGAATATTTCTCATTTATTCCTCTGATTTAGTCAACTATTCTACTTGTTAAGTTTTTAAGGATTTGTTTCTATTTTAGAATAGAATAATTCTTTCCTTTTATTATCTTTGTTTTTTGTTTCATGTAAGTTTTCGATGTACACCTTTATTCTAGAAATATAATAAGAGAAAAAAACAATTGTTCTCCAAGTTTTCTACACGGTATCAAAGCAAGTCAACCAGAACCATTAGACTGTAGCTACACAAGTTTCCATCATGGCAAATAGGAGTTAGAACTCTTCTCAGAGGTCACGCCGACACATGGAGGAACAACTTCCACTGCTGTTCCCAGTGCTTCTGAAGGACCAATCCTTCAGATCACCGGACATGAACTCAATGACCAAAACTTCATTCACTGGTCACAGTCAGTGATGATGCTTGTTTGCAGAAAACACAAGGAAGATTATCTCACTGGAGCTGCAGGAACTCCTTGAAAAAATGACCCTACTTTCAAAGTTTGGATGCTAGAGAATAGCATGGTGATGTCTTAACTAATAAATTCCATGACAAATGAAACCAGTGAAAATTTTATGTACTACAAGACAACAAAGGAGATCTGGGACGCAGCAAGGGAGACCTACTTGTTAAGATTCCTAAAATTATTCCTAAGTTTCCTATTTCAAATAGCTAGAAATTAGGGATTTGATCCTTTGACTTGATTTGATTTGATTGCCCTTTATTTTCATTTATTTACTTTATTTGTTTTTCTTTAGATAGATACTTTCCTGTAATTAGAGTTTTGTCCTCTGTCTATGTATATCATACAGCTCTCTTGTAAATTATACAAGGAATTTTACACAGAATTTCTACATGGTATCAAAGCCCTTCGTCTAGGAATTTTTTTTTTCTTTTGTTGTGGCCTTAATTGCCTTATATCTTTCTTCCTTCTTCTTGCCTTCATTGCAATATCTCCTTTCCTTAAAAAAAACAATTGACCTGAAGATGTCAACAACCTCCACTGGCTCTTTACCTGATATGCCATCTGTGGCTACGGGTGAACCTACTGCTGTTTCGCTGTCCAATGTGAATGATCATCACTTGATCGGTTCAAACAATTTATTACAAAGTATGAATCCATCTTATTGTCTTGATGGAACAAATTATCTACAATGGAGTCAAATTGTCCAAACCTTCCTCAAGGGGCGAGGGAAAATAGATCACCTGACCAGTGATGGCCCAAGCTTTAAAGACCCAGGTTTTAAGACATGGGATGCAGAAGATTCTATTATTATGTTGTGGTTGTGGAACTCTATGAAACTAGGGATTAGTCGGAATCTGATGTTTCTCTCTACTGCAAGTCATATAGGAAACACTACAACAGACCTATTCTAAGAAGAAGGATATTGCACTAATCTATGAACTAAAGGTGCAGGTTGCTTCCACCAAACAAGGAAACACATCCATCACTAAATACTACAATAAGATGACAGGTTTATGGCTGGAAATTGATCACTACTGCAACCTGAAGATGAAAAATAATGAAGACATTCAGATATTCCAGGAGTTTTTGGAGCACGATAGAGTGTTTGAATTCCTAGCAAGTTTGAATGCTGAGTATGATCAAATCAGAGTGCAGATTCTTGGCAAGGACCCAGTCCAAGACTGTCAAATTTTTTCTATCGTTTGAGCTAAAGAGAGTCGATGAAGAGTTATACTGGAACCCCTTACATTTGAAGCTACTGCTATGGTATCTCAAAAGATTGGAGATGGAGGAAATAAGGGAAATAAGTCAGGTGACAATACTTGGCTAGACTTGAAAAAAGTGTAACAGAGAAGGGCTGTGGTGTTCGTACTGTAACAAACCACACCATACTTGAGATATCTGTTTCAAACTACACGGTAAGGCATAAGTTTTGGCTTGAATTGGGTGTTTTAAGGGTCACACACAAGGCCAAGCCAACCTCACCAAGGAAGAGGCAAATCTGGAAACAGGGGCTCAAAACAAGGAAGAGTTCAAGGAATTTAATCAGGAGGAGATGGAAAAGCTAAGGTGCCTTCTAGAATCACTCGAAAAATCTTCAAGTTCTTGCTCTCTTGCCCAAGTCAGTACGTGTCTCTTAACTGAAACTTCTAAAGCTTCAAGTACTGCACATTTGAGTTCATGGGTTGTTGATTCCAATGCAACCGATCACATGACCTATAATGCCACTAATTTTTAATCTTATAAATCCACCTTTGGAAATAAAAAAATTAGAGAAGCAGATGGACCGCCTATTGTTATTTTCTGCCAGGGAAGTATTCACTTAACACCTTTAATTTCCCTTTAAAATGTCCTACATATCCCTAAATTGTCCACTAATCTCATTTCCATTCATAAGATTACCAAAGAATTTTGTTGTAAAATAACTTTTTTCCCTTCTCATTGTGTTTTTCATGACCTAGTCTCGAGGAAGACAATTGAATTTGCTAGAGAACGTGATGGGTTGTACTACCTGGAAGACTTGCAAAGCTATGGACTAGACTACCAACCCACCTCTTATCAACCACCTTCTTTTTTTTTTTTTCAGATTCTTCAAATAAATCTCAAGTTTGGGCATATCATCTGCGCCTTGGACATCCCCCTTTTCTTTTGTTAAAGTCTATGTTTCCTTCTTTGTTTGAAAATGTTCCTATTACTGATTTTCATTGTGATGTTTATCAATTTGCAAAACATTGTGTTTCTTTTCCTACAAAATCAATAAAGAGCAATAAACCTTTCCTTCTAATCCACTCTGATAATTGGGATCCTTCAAAATTTCCTAATGTTAATAGGGCATGGTGGTTTGTCTCTTTTATTGATGATTCCACTCCCACAACTTAGTTGTTTCTCATGAAAGAAAAATCAGAACTTAGTACCATCTTTCCTCAATTCCACAAAATGATTTCTACGCAATTTGGGGAACAAATCAAAAGAATCTGATCTGACAATGCCAGAGATTATTTTAATCAAACTCTTTCCTTATTTTTTAAAAAGGAGGGTATCATTCATGAGTCATCCTATGTTGACACACCCCAACAAAATGGGGTTGTTGAGCAAAAAAATCACCACCTTTTAGAAGTAACTCGTGCCCTGTTATTTCAGTCAGATGTCCCAAAATTTCTTTGGGGTGAAGCAGTCCTTACAGCTGCTCATGTCATCAATCGACTTCCTTCAAAAGTTTTGAGAAATAAGAGCCATTTGTCCACCCTATTCAAGCACTTTCCTGATTCTGTCTCCCTTCAAAGTCTTTCCCCAAAAGTTTTTGGTTGCATAGCCTACTTACACATTCACAAAACCAACCAGTCCAAGTTAGATCCTCATGCAAAATCATTATCCTTCTACCTATCGAATCTTTGTATCCATGGATGTTACATTCCAAGAAAGTGAACCATTCTACAAGCCCCTTCCTACTCATCTTTAGGAGGAGAACATAGTCAAGGAAGATGTGTGGTCAGGTTCTAGATTTTTTCTGGAAAGTTTCTCATTTCCCTCTTCTGATGAAAATTCAAATGTCAAACCTACAGTAACTGCTGAAAACATCGAAACCGAGACCAATCCAACCTCAGCAGATGAAACTGAGACCATTACAGTAGAAGTTACAGCTTCAGCAGATGAAACCGAGACCATTCCTGTAGAGTGTTCAAACTTACAGAGCTTTGAACCTAGTGTGGATCCAAAAAACCAACTTTCAGAAGCTCCCGTGAAGCAGCTACAACAATATTCAAGGAGAGTAAAGCCCTCACAAGTATCAAAACAGATCCATGAGCCTAACTTGAACACAGGTAATGAAGGCACTTTAAATATACCTGTTTTTGAACCTAATGATTCTGTTTCATGTGATAACCAGCCTATCCTAGAGACCATAGCCTTGAGAAAAGGGAGACGAAAGTGCAACCAACACCCCATATCCAGCTTTATTTCCTCACACCATCTCTCCATACGACACAAAAGCTTTCTCTCTACCTTGAACTCATTTGAAATTCTAAAAACAGTACAAGAAGCTTTAGGAGACAAAAATTGGACATGTGCGATGAGGGAAGAGATGAGGGCTATGGAAAATAATAAGATGTGGGACATTGTCTCACGTCCTAAAGGCAAGAGAACAGTTGGCTGCAAGTGGGTTTATACTGTGAAGTTTAAAGCAGATGGAATATAAAGCAAGGTTAGCTGCAAAAGGCTATACACAGACCTATGGGGTAGACTACCAAGAGACCTTTGCTAGACTTGTTGCAAAGGGGTTCATTCAATCCTACAGGGTAGACTATGAGGAGACATTTGCTCCAATAGCCAAACTCAATTCAATCAGAGTTCTATTGTCACTAGCAGCCAACTTGGATAGGCCTCTCCAAGAACTTGACATCAAGAATGCATTCTTAAATGGTGACTCGGAGGAAGCTGTCTACATGGAAATTCCCCCCAGTTTTGAAGGGCAAAACAACATTGGCAAAGTGTGCAAACTCCGGAAATCTTTGTATGGACTTAAACAATCTACTCTAGCTTGGTTTGAGCAGCTGACCAAGGCAGTGAAAAGGTGTCGATTCCTTCAATGCAATCTGACTATACTATGTCAAGTTCACTACTGAAGGAAAAAGAGTCGTTCTTATTGTTTATGTGGAGAATATCATAATAACCAAAGACCACAAGGAATAGATGATTTGAAGAAACTACTTGCAAAGGAGTTTGAAATAAAAGACTAGGGGTTCCTTAAATATTTCCTTGGGATGGAAGTGGCTCGGTCTAAGAATGGAATGTCAATGCACTTGATCTACTTAAAGAAACCAGCATGATTGGATGCAAAACTGTCAATACACCCATGGACTCAACTAATAAAATTGGAAGTGAATATGGAAGCTCTCTCGCGAACAAAGGGCGATACAGACTAGTTGGGAAACCTATTTACCTCTCCCGCACAAGACCTAACATCGGGTTTGCATTGAGGATGGTGAGTAGATACATAAATAATCCAACCAAGGAGTACCTCAAGGCTATTCATCGCATCCTACAGTACTTAAAAGAAAAGTCCCGGTGAAGGTCTAGACTTCAAGAAGTCAATGGACAGGGTAGTCAAGGTGTACATGGATGCTGACTGGGCTAGATCAGTAAGAGATAAAAGGTCCACTACTGGATATTGCACTTATGTTTGGGGCAATTTGGTCATTTGGCGAAGTAAAAAGCAAGCTGTTGTAGCTAGGACCAGTGCTGAGGCTGAGTTTAGAGCAATGTCCCATGGCATTTGTGAAGGAATTTGGCTAATGAGGTTACTTGGAGACTTAAAAGTTCAGACTGCGACATCTATAACATTGTTTTGTGGCAATAAGGCTACTATAAGTATTGCCAAAAATCCTGTTTATCATGATAGGACCAAACATATAGAGCTGGACCAACATTTCACAAAGGAAAAGATAGAAAATGGGTAGGTCAAACTAGCCTATATCCGTAAAAGTTCTCAAATTGCATATGTTCTTACTAAAGCTTTTCCTAGAAGCATTTTTGACAGAATGAAATCCAAGCTGGGTATGATTAACATTCATAACCCAATTAAAGGAGGAGTGCAGAAATCCAATTCTCCTACATTAGTGCAGCTCAGTTTCCTAATTTATCTTGGGAATATTTCTCATTTATTCCTCTGATTTAGTCAACTATTCTAATTGTCAAGTTTTTAGGGATTTATTTCCATTTTAGAATAGAATAATTCTCTTTCCTTTTATTATCTTTGTTTTATGTTTCATGTAAGCTGTTTCCTAATAATGAGCATCACTGTTCCTATTTATTTCGATGTACTCCTTCATTCTAGAAATATAATAAGAGAAAAAGACAATTGCTCTCTAAGTTTTCTACAAGTATTTCACTTTAAATCCAAAGATAAAGTTACATGTCCAGAAAAGAAAAGAAAAAAAAACATAAAAATTAAGGTAAATTACAGCACTAGTAACTCAATTATGTTTTTAAAATGGTCACTAAACTATTAAAATTTTTAATTTAGTCACTTAAGTTCAAGTTTTTTTTTTTTTTCTCACCCAAACATTACAAGATGGTCACTAAACTATTTCAATTTAGTCACTAAAGTTCGAATAAGTTTTTTTTTTTTGGTCACCCAACCATTAGTCTCTAACGAGGTGCTGACATGGCAATGACAAGTTAGCTGTCAGGTGCCACGTTGCATTGCCACTTCAGCAAAATTTTTTATATAATGCTATGTCAACAATGCTAAGTTGCATATAAGATGACAATGCAATGCAACATGGCACCCAACAATTGATGTGACATTACCACATCAGCAAGCCGTTAGAGACAACTAGGTGACCAAAAAAACACTTCTTCAAACTTTAGTGACTCAATCGAAAATTTTAATAGTTATATGACCATTTTAAAAACAAGAGCATAGTTGCGCGACCAATGGTGCATTTTACCCTAAAAATTAAGACACATCCTCAATCCACAATTAACCAAACATCGAATATTTACTTTGGTGATATGCAATAGTTTACCAAAAAAAGGGAATTCCACACAAACTTGTCCCCCACTTCCATCCTACTCCTAATGTGATCTTCATTCTTGTTTCTATAGCTCACTCTTATACGCTACAATATCACAACTAAACACAGTCATCAATTATTATAAATAAAATGGAACTTCGTAATTCTTCTAATTGAACATGCACATGCATAACTTTGATTAAGTCATGAAGTCTGATTGCAACTCACTTAGAAGTACTTGAAAGGGCAGCTCTATGTCCAAGAATAATTATAAGCACCTCTACTGAAGCTAACCGATGACATCTATGCCTGTGATGAATTGCCGCCGCAATTTTGTAATGCATTTCTATGATAAACTGCAAAATCACAATAAATGTGAGAAAATGACAGAAATTAAAGACCATTTGTTGGAAGATCCTTAAATAGTATCCTTATTATAAGAGAGTGCAACATCACCATGAAAGCTCTGTTCGGGCGAAAAATGTTAATCTTGTCAATAACACTACTACTTGCACAGCAATCATCCCTACACGAGTCAATGGAGAAAAAAAATTTTCATAAAACATAGAAAAGTTACCATAATGCATAATAAATAAAAAGCAAACTGAAGGTAACACACATTTCCAAGAATCCATCAACTACTGTTTGAATTGCGCATGCAACAGTATCCCTGGAGAAAAAAGGAATTAAAGGATCTGATGCACAGGATGCAAGAGAAAGAATATGGCCGACGATAGACACCTACAAATGCATAAACAAGGGAAAAAAAGGCAAACATTAGAGTTGATGTGGTCCTGATCAAACACAATTATAAAATCTATGTCCATAAATATAAAATCATTTATGATAACTAAGGCTCCATTTAAGTGGAACTCTGCATAAATGGATGCATGATTCAAATGCTATGTGTATAATAAATGGAGCTACATCCACTAAGTGTTTGAATCAGATGCCAACACTCTTGGAAAATACTGTCCAAATGAATGTAACTTAATTGATCCGCATTTGAAAATGCTCTTTGAAGTCCTCAAAACATATAATGTATATGCTACTTATAAACTCTCCTAGAAAAAAAGTCAAATACACTTAAACCATTACCATACCATTATCCTTTCATAGAAGAGTACTCTCCAAGATTCAGTTGTCTCAAGTGGCATTATCCTACATCACTTGTGGTTGCAGTTTATCATTGCCTTCTATTCAAGTTGGAACTCTCCACTCATTATCAGTTTGTTTTACTTTGAGTGCTTGGCATGGTATCACAGCCAGGGTTGCTTGTTGCCTATTTGTTATGTTAATTGTTGTTTACTCGGTATCCACTGTCCACATGGTAAACCCATTTGGGTTTCAATTGTCACTATTAGACCAATATATGCAGATGAGCGTTAAAGGGTGTTATCCCACATCAAGTAAGTTTTCAATTTGTTGTGGCCATGTAATCAAGTTGGTCCTGTCCACCTTTTATCAATTGCTAGATTGAAAGCTTAAATTTTTGCTATGGTAATCAATCAGCTTGTACAATGAATCATCATTAGGTTTCAAGAAAATCTAGAGAAAACATTACTGATGCATACATATTACTTCTGTAACACAGTTTATGAAACTAAGAAAAAAAAAATTGAAATGATCCTTCACAGAGGAATGTAGTCATATGCCAAAACCAACTTAGAAAAGTTCTCCACCTAATTTTGTCATCACACTCAAACCATTGGATTTATCATAAACCAACAAGTAACTTACCATATTTTTCTTGATAAGTTTATCTCTTTCATTCTCAGAAATCTCAGCCAAATGCAAAATAGAATTCTGAAGCACCATTGTTCCCTTCTCAAAACCAGAGCTCTTACTGCAATACAGTGTCATACAAACTGAAAAAATTGGCACAAAATGATCCATAACAATAACAGACAAAGGTTGCCCTGCAATCTGAAATAAACTAAACATGTCAGCAAAACAAAATATAGTGTGTAAGTAGAAAAGAGAATAGATGACATTAAGAGACCAGTATCTATAAAATGAAACACAACCAGATTGACCCCACAAGGGAGCATCTATAAGCCTTAATTTCTAGCTAACAAGAAGAAAATATTAGTGACATTTCCCTAAGATTTCTACTTAGATGTAAGCATAATCATTAAAAGGTCTTTATTTACTCAAACCAGAAAGATGATGGGACAAGGAATTCGCTCCTACCTTAGCAACCCAATTGAGGTTAGAGTTGTTCTCATGGATAAGTAGAGCTGGAAGAAGCCAACGGAAACAATATTGCAAGAAATAACTAGGTTCAGTATCTGATACAAAAAGTTGTCGTATCTGCAAAAAATAGCTACCAGTGATCAGAGAAGATTTAGATTCAGAAAGAAAAAAAGAAGTGAAAAAAAAATGGAAGAGAATCATTATTATATATGAAAAAAAATGAATATAAGCAAATAAAATCCACAACACGCTTTTCGAGTTTAATAATTTAAAGCAAATAAAGTAATCCTAATAGCAAGATATTAGCTAGGTTTACAACACAAAAGCAATGTAACTGATTTAGCCATGCAACTGGACGAATTATTTGAAAGGATGAAACTTCAAATCAGTCAGCAACTTTTATAGCTTATCAGCATTAACATACATGATAAGAGAGAGAGAGAGAAAACTCAAACCAGGCTGACTGAGTAACATTTAGTAACATTTTTAAATAACATAAAAACTATTGCTTTGAATATTTTAAAGATTTTTTAAACGGACAGTGTCTAAAAGAGTAAATGCTGCTAAAACAACAAACCAATACAACACACAAACTTGATTCAATACAAAAGGCACCACTTATTGTGTCTTGTTACATCAGAACAGAATCCAATAAGAAGCTAACAGGTAAGTTACCTCAACAAGAGCAGCTATGCTGACACCACAAGCAACCCAGCAGAATAGAATAGATCCAATAAGTTCTTCCAAGTACTGCAGAGGAAAAATTTATGAAAAGTTAAAGACAAACGAAGGTCCAGATAGTGCGTAATTCAATAACTTCTAGTAAACAAACCCCAGATAAAACCCTAATAAATCTTTCCACTGAAATACTTTAAATGAAACGGGGTCCATCAAAGAGGTGTTTGCACGGGCTAAAACCTCAGGGAATATAAATCGCAGTTATCACCGTTTCATGTGAACAATCATAATTCATCAAAAGGAAGGAGAATTCTTCACCTTCATTCTTGAAATATACTGTAGCTTTCTCGATAGATTATCAAATGCTGCAGTTACTAATTCCCTGCAGCAAAAGGATTACCAGTCAAAGGAACAAAAGTATGATTAGTAAAAATTGCAATAAAGGTAGAATATTGTACCTCTGACAAGAATCAATGGCAGAAACTGCACACATCATGAAAACAGCCTGCATATTAAATGAATACAAACATTAAGTCTTTCTAAATTGCACATTTAACCTATTCAATCCTATATAGATGGTTCAACCAGTGCAAGTGTTATGGTAACAGACCAAAATCACAAATCACACCTCTAATTCAATTTTCTCACTATGCAAAGCAAGCTGCATAAGGGTAATAATGACAGTTTCAACTTTTGAGCGAGGCTGTGGACCAGCGGCAAGGACTTCCCTAGCTGTAACAAGTTTTTCTTTGGAGTAATACACCAACTCCATGCCAAAGTTGGAACTGCAAAGACAATCAAGGAAGTGTTAAGATTTGACGTGCTAATTTTTTATTAGTAAGGATAACTTTTATACATTTAACAATAAGGGAAAGATAGATTGAAGAGAACCAGAAAACCTATATATAATAGTATGTTTTAATTAAAATTATAAAATACAATGAGACAAACATACCCTTTGCACTAATTGCTTGATAGATCATAATATAAGATAGAACTCGAAAGTGTGTGGGAAAATTTTTTCCTTTTAATTAATTTACATAAAAAAATTACTTTTTTACGGTAATGCTAATATTCAGAATGGCACAAAGATGCTTCAAAAGACAGAGTTTTAAACAGCATTCCTTTATTAGTAGATTCCAGAGAACAAGTCTAGTCAACTTGAAACTTTATCAAGCCTTTGCTCCATCATAAACAACCCCATATCTTCAAATGGAAAATTTGTACTGATATCAATTTTGGGGCAAAAGAACTCTAGAATACAATACTATACAAGAGAAAAACCCTAAAGGAAAATGGATATTGCTAATGAATGCTCTTAGAGCACTTGTTAAGGTGCTATTTATGAAAATATTTTCACATTACATGCAAAAGTTGACTAGCGAAATTTAATGTGATGACTTCCAATGCATTGAATGGAGATATTTCTCTGAAAAACTCGTTAGGAAATGCCAAGCAAATTTTCAGAAACTACAAATCCAAGGCTGGGTAAAACTCCAACCATGGAACAAAAGGTCCCATATGACTAAATCATCAAGTGAAGAAAAAGCTAATTGTTAAACAGAAAAAAAGCTCGAGAGGCATCTTCCTAGCTAAAGAACCTGCAGCAGATGGTCCACGATTTTGTCATCGCTCATGCGCACAACATAAGTCATGATTCTATTTTTGCAAAAGAAGATTCTACAATGCACAATTGCCTAGAGATGCAACATAGAAAGTTTAGAATGTGCCTTAAAATCAAAGATTCTTCCATTAGAAACACCTGTTTAGTTCCTGTCAATGCCTAAAAAAAAACCTGAAACTTTTAACTATTTACAACAGCCTTATCAATCTCACCAACAACACCAGGATTTATTAGTGAACATCACATAAAGAACAAAGTCAGGGACTCCACTTCCCAATCATTCACATCTCCCAAAAACATTGGAAGCAAATGAACCTTCCCCTGAATTATCCATGCAGTAAGCAACAAAAGTTGTCAACACAAGCTTAAATATCCACCAAACATGCAAGTTCAGAAGGTTAAATTCAAGTTCCATAAATTTATAACCCCATGTAATTTATAGTAAAACCTAATACCGCGGATAATTCAAGTTCCATTAATTAACATCACAATGATGACTAACCAAAGTCTCAAACAATTTTAGAATTTTCATCTATGTTCAATTTCAATATCCCTTGAAAGTTCGAAGTAAACATTGTTAGACAATCTCAAAAACCTAAAAGAAAATTAAAGATGAAGATTTCCGAAAAGCATGATGACTATGGTAATATAGTTTTCAACAAAGCCCGCATCACCCAAGCACAAATGCAGGAAAGTTTAATGATGTAGAAGATAATTATAATGACACAGGCCAAAAAGATGGTGGGTGGAGGTCCAAAACATAATTTACCTTAAGTTGAAGAATTAATAAAAAGACAGCATTATTGATAATAACGAAAAGGCACCTTTTACTAGCTTGGCACAAACATGAAAAGATAAAATATAAAGTTAAATATGATCATAATAGTAACTAAATAAGCATACATATCCATGCAGGAGAAAAAGAAGGGGAAAACATTGAGAAAATTTACACTGCATCAAAAACACAGGCAAAATATAAAAATGATGATGTCTATCATATCATTATGTTGTTTAAATAATAATATACTAATGAAGATAACAACATCAATAACTGCAAGAATAGAAAACCTTACAAGCATTGAAACCTTTACTTTTCAACTAAAAGGAAAACAATTAATATTTGTAGAATCAAAATAACAGAAATAGAAGGCAAAATTATTGGCATGTGCATTAGAACAAAGTTGAAACATAAGAACTAACCATCTTAATATGACATATTCCAACATACAAACTTAAAAAAGCTTGTGGTTAGTTAAGCCTCTCACAGAACCAAATACATTTCAAAAAACTCACCAAATATCATGAAAGAGCTCTCCATGTCCATCCCAGGTCTGGAATAGAACACCAATTCGTCTACTTAGAAAGAACCTAACTCGATAATCAGGATCTTGGAGCATGCAAAGCAGCTTTTCAATCATTGTCTGTAAATAGTTATGAAACAGCAAAAATGCCCCATATAGCGGCATGTAAAGAGAGAAAGAGAAACTGAATCAGTTTGTCCAATTTAAATAATTTACATAGGAACAAAATATTATCTATAATTTCCTAAAACTAAGAGAGACAGTGATGAAAACTAGAACTACAAAGATAGAAAAAGGAATTGAACTGCTCCTAAAATAACGTGTCCAGGAAGCAGAAATACTTCAGAGGCACATGTAGATGTCTCAGAATGAAAATAATTAAATATGGCTTTCCTTTCAAATAAAGTAGCTGACTAAATGCCTAATTAAAGTGATTCAAAACGTTTCTCATCCAGAAGAGAGTGTGTCCTCAATGACGAAAGTTTTTAGATTTTCCACATAATATATAAGTAAACAAAATAATATCAGCAATACATTTTTCCCTCCTACTTTTAAGATTTTATGTTAGCCAGTGCATGTACTTTTCTGTCCAATCTGAGAATGGGAAACATGAGAGGCACTTGATAAGGTAAGGATCCAAAAATAGTCACCTGGCCGATCACGGGACTGAGTAAAATAAAATTGCATATGCAGTCAATTAGTTTGATGCGACCAAACCAATCAAGAAGTTCAAATTCTGCGACTTTGCTGGCCAGCTCCCCGAGATATGTCAAGGACTGCAATGCAATATCAAGCAAAAACATAATGGTTGGGACATGATCTCCTGGCCAATCTCATCATCAACATAACGAAGAAAATTGTTCAATGATATATTATGTTTTGTAGCAAAGGAAACACATCTTTGAATACACGATTACAGACATGAAGTTGGAAACTTTGTCAAAGCAGCATGTCCCAATATGCAATGTATTCAAGCCACTTGAAAAGAGTACATTGCTACAATCAGGATTTATGGCACTATAAAAGATGAAGAAACCAGTTTGTTAGCATAGAATACCTTCACATGACAACTTTTCATCCAAACTGTGAACAACTGATACAATGTAAAAGTCTCATTTATTATGATACATATAAATTTACACACACAACCTAATAAGAGCATAGCTGGCAACCAAAAATAAATGAGCTCATTCATCTAGCTTTGATTTAGTACAACATTTAAGCATTTAGAATCTGATCTAAAGTTAGATATATTCATCATAACTGAAAAATCCCCAATCACTAGATCAATGCCTTGAAACCATAAAATGATGATTTCCCTTTTAAGCAATTAATGGCAAGAAAAAATTGAAAATTCTGTAAATTTTCAACTTTTTCAGTTTTCTCACCATCTATAAGTAAGGTTTTTCTTTCTGCAGAAACCAACCACCTTCTTCATGCACCAGATGACACCTAGTACTGGACTTACCACAACAATAGAGGTGGTAGTAGGAGCAGCAGGGCAGATTGGCTCATTTCAGGTTTTCACTTTCAGATTACTTGAGGTTGATGAGGTTTCAATTCATAATCTTTTCAAGTTAATTTGGATTGACTTTTTGCCACATTTACCACTCTGCTAGTAGACAGAAATCAAGTTCAAGTCCAGCTAGGTCTTGTTTTTAGGACAACAGAGTTCAAGTTCAGTTTGGATAGAGAACAGCTTAAGATATCTGAAATTCAACATAATACAAGGCTGATATGAAGAAAACTGTGTCATATTTGACCCAATCTACACAGATATTAAAACAACCATCATCATTCTTTCTCAAATCAAGCATATAAAGTCCAATTATAAAGAAAAAACAACAAACAAACAAAAAATGACATTGTGAAGTACCTGTTTAGCTTCTCTTTCTTCCAAAGCTATGGCACCATGTTTATCCTTTCCAACTTCTAAAGATAGTAGGGTATCAAGCAAACAACCAATAGCAGCTAGAACATTAAAACTATCAAGCTTCAGACTAACTTGCATTCTTGTCCTGTTTTTTATTAAATTGACCTACAGGAAAAAAGGAATGTTAGACCAGTGGACAAAATAAAAGGATTACTGAAAAGGCATGAGCATTAAACAGGCTGTTATTGTTTGTATTACAAGTACATTTCCGGAAAACCAGATTAAATTCTACACAATCATCAGCGAGATATTTTCATACCAGATCTGTCAGTTTTGAAGAAGATAATGAGTCGAGATGGCGACAAAGATTGCACAAAATTATCTCATACACCTGATTGCATTGAAAAATGAAATTATGATACAAAAGATAGAACTATTTAAATGCAGATGATGCAGGATCACATACAGCATAAGAATACTATACACTTGCATACCTTCAAGTCAAGTTCTTTTTCCATGAGATTCAGTAGGACATCCCATGTTTGATTGTGGACGACAGAGAAAAAACTTGAGATTAGTGATACCATACCCAACTTCCACTTCATTGCAGAGAAAGATCCACAAGTTGAAATGTTCCCACTAGATGTCTGAATATCTACATCTTTACCATCCTCATTCACATCCAATTCCATGTCCATGATCCTACTTTTATTGCTATCCACATGGTTTGAAATTTGTATAGAAGAACCAGATCCAGAAGAATCTGATGAGAACATCTCAGACCGATGGTTAGTTACACTTTCAATATATTCATCATACAGTTTAGCAAATGCCTTCAGAAGCCTCTGCAGGGATTGTTTTATAGCATCATAAAGTACAGTGTCCGGAGCATCTCCATCTCTCCTTTGTGTGAAAAGGGGGCCAAGAACAAAGCTTTTAAATGAAGCAACAATAGCAGTTTTTGGGTTAAAGCCAGAGGTAAAACCCAAGGATCCAAGAGATCTGGAGTCATTTATGTTTTTAAGAATTACATTAATAGCATCATTCAGCAATTCCAACAAATAGTGGCCCAATTTTGAGAGAAATGGTGAAACTTCTTCTCTATTCCTGGCATAAACAATCCATATAAAGCAATTAATAAAAGAGCTAAGGAAAAATGGAATAAATGATGGGGAAAGATCAGTAGTAAATGACTAAAAAGTTTGTAATAGAATAACCGTGTTTAAACCCCTGAACTGCAAATAAAAAAAAAATAGGAATAAACTTGTAAAGGTGCAAGAAATGCCATCACCAAAACTCTTGCTATAATCAATTCAGTCAAATTCCATTCAAATGTAGTTTTCATTGTTCAAACATAACATGTCAGCAACCAAAAAGTCTACACTCCAACAGAGTGAAAGTCCAAGCAAGATGGCACCTGCCATGGAGAAAATTTAGAAAAAGAAAAAAAACAATTGACCAGAACACAATCAGGGAATACATCACGCAATTATTCACTCAACAGAAGAACTTAACTGATAAGACTGGTTAGCATCAAAGTATTAACTCACCTAGCACATAATCAACCATCTCAATAGAAGAAATGTTAAAAATGAATTGGTCATCTCCACAATATACAAGGTCAAACAAAAAGGTTTACTGGAAAAAACGCAAGTTTCACACCAAGTAAGCTCTGTTTACCATGGTTAACGAGTTAAAATAGACACTTAACTGAATTAGGACAAGTGTCTCTATCAACCTTGTTTGCAGTGAGCTAAATTTAGGAAAATTATATACATTCAGACCGAAGAGACATAGACCAAAACTAAAAAAAGGACACTACTTTTACCAAGCTCACTGAAGATATTGTCTTGAACAGAACATATTGGTGGACAATGACCCATTTAGCCAATCCTAGATAGTGGAAAACCACTTAGTTTGTTGTTGAGATATTAAGATTTCCACTTGCAGGGATGAAAGCTTAAAGTTCAACCACTTCTTCTGGCCCCTACATGTAGGAAAGTTCCAAAATTTTGGGGCCTCCTTATTTGGTGAAACTAGACACTAAGTTGCAGGAAAATCAAGGCAAAATCTATTTTTATAGTCATAGGTCATGGACTCAGGTTGTTGGCTCAATGGTAAGACAGGGATCTAGATTTTGCAGAATAGTTGGTAGGAAAAGTTTCTAGGATTTTGAGGAATAGGTTCAGAAATCAGAGATTTAGCAAGGGCTTAATTTGAAGAATGCAACAGTAGTGAGACTATAGAGAACATTGATAAAGAAGAATGAGAACGATTGGAGAAATAAAATAAACTGGAAGAGTTATAACCCACGCCCTCAAGAAACAAATAACTTGTGATTTCATTAACCATAAGCCAACCAACTGAAAATGAGAGATTGGAACTTAGACAAGCTCTTGAGGAATCCCTTGACTTGCAAGTACTTAGACTCCTAAATACGAAACTACCTAACACATAATACTCTTACATTCTCCTAGAAACACTACCCTCAAATAAATTACCAAGAATCCCTTCCAGAATTTTATGTCCCCCCTTGAAAAGTAACTTAAATTGCTCGAACTAACATTGCATTAAATAAAATCAACTCAGATAACTACTTGAATATTTTACATGAGAACCTATTAATAAGTTTTAATCTCAAGAAGGTCACACCCAAGGCAAGCCTGTTCGGTTTCTATGGACTTAGCACAGTCCATACATAAACATCACTTTGACATAGCAAAGTCCATCACATGTGTTGTGCAGAAATTTAATTATTAATTAGAATATAAAGGAAGACATGATTTGAACCTGCTGCTAGGTATAAAGGCCTTTGATATCATACAAAGGAATCAGAGGACCTAAAGGCATATGATACTAGGAGAACAACCAAGAATAGGTTTTAGTTTCTGCAACACACAGCATAGAATAAGGAAATTTCAACTTCCATGGCTGCATCTTGAACAAATAAAAAAGCAGCAAAGAAAAGCTGATGAAGACTAGTTTTAAGAAAATAATACAAACCTTGTTAAATATAATCCATATATTAAATTGCACAGTAAAGCACATATGAAGAAGACATCAGACAGACGCTTCTTTTCAACATTGTGATCTGCTAAAACTCCCAAAATATAGGTCTCCATTTCATGCATAAGTGGCTCTCTCAACTGTCGAGGAAGACTTACACTTTGATGGAAGTGAGATGGGGAAACCTGAAAGTTTATCAAAATTAACAAAACTACCAAATCATATAAACCTGAATATGAAGAATGCTTTTGACAATAACAGCCCAGCACCTGAACATTTGAATCCAAATCAATATTTGCAACAACTTCAACAGAGCATTCAAAATTTTCAAGCTGCCTTTCGTGATCATATTCATCAATCTACAAACATGATCCAAATTCGATGTATCAGAAGAAACAACGTTATAATATAAGATTCAAATATCAAGCCACAACAAGGAATATCAACCATCGAGACATACCTTGATCCAATCATCTGCAACCTCAATAGCATCCACAAAAGAGTGTAACCGGAGAATTTCTTTGTAACACTGGGTAAAAGGCTCACAACCAGCACAAAGAGCATAAACAGCTGCTGGTAACAATAATACCATACGGTTATTCAGTAAGGACGATTCCTGCATTCAACAAATAAAGAAAACTTGAGAGTTTAAATAACACAGTCTATCTTGCTGGATAAACTTAAAAGGTGCCAAAGAAACAACGATCATGGTTATAAACCCGATTATATTTTCATTCTCAACAGCCAAAAAAATATACGACCACCAAAAAATTCCACCTAAACAAACCTCTTCTCAATTCATAATTTCTTGTAAGCACAGACTTGAAAACTAGATTGCACCAAACTGAGTTGCAGTTCAAACTTCATAAAACAAACTTGTAGTGAACTCTATAAATGGACCATTTGCATAACCCCAAAAAAGACTTAGATTGCATAAAACTGGAGCACAGTCAATAACCAAATTGTAATTGAGCTCTATAGATGGACAACTTGCATAACCCAAAAAAGATCCAAGGGAAGTAGGGAAAGTTGACTTGCAGCAGTCAATAAATTTCAGGCAAAAAAAAAAAAAAGGCTTCTGGGAATCCTCAAAACATTAAGGCCATTATGCCTACTGACAAATGGCCTAAGGAGGATGAAACCAAACACAAAATCACTCACCTAAAATAAACCAAAGAAAGTCAAAAAGCAGTATGGAAGAAGATCAAGCATATAATTCCTTCCAGCTCCAAGTAGCAAAATTCTTAAAAGATGAGACTCCCAGCCACAAGAAATCAAGAAATTTAACTTTAGAGTGACTTCAGATGATAAAAATGTACTTCTCCTACTCCTAAGAATGAAGGTTCTTTCAGAGGAGACTCTGACAACAAATCCACAAATCACTGCCACCACATTAAACAAGAAATCAATCTTGGTTGTAAACAACCAGAAAGGAATAATAGCTCCCCCCCCCCCCTTTTTTTGTCCCAAAAGGGACTCAGACCCCTTTAACCCTCTAATCCTGACCTAAAACCAAAAAACAAAAAAAAAGAAACAAACACATAAACCGCAGTCTGAATGTTCTAACTTCCATATTAACTCAAAAGGGGGCAACAACTAACATCAAAAATCATGCCAAATAAAGGACAGTGGTGGTATAGGAATCAGGAGCAAACATACATTCCAGCTGAGAGAGCCCAAAGTTGCTCTTAGAAGATACTTCCGTAGATGTAAAATGTCCCGAAGGTCACCCTGCAAAAAATCAGAAGACAGCCAAAATAATACAAAAAAAAAAAAAAAAAACTTATACTTCACACCATGATATGCACTTTTTCAAAGTTCACTTCATTGATATCCCAACACCCAAAAGAAAAGGGACTAAGACAGATGCCATATAAAATCTCACTCCCATTCCTAGTACAGAAAAAAAAAAAAAAAAAAAAAAAAAAAAAAAGAACTTGCCATGCCGGCTACTACAAAAGCTTGAATTAAAAAAAAGAATGGTGATCAATTCTAGTTTATTCAACCAAAATTGGCAGGATATTTGACAAAGATTCTTCTATTAGTTTGTTTCTTTCCAAAAGAGAGTTATGGAGACAAAATCATTATTTCTATAATTTTAAAGAAAAGAAAAACAGCTAACTCCCATGCATACTATTAGAGAGAAAAAGAAACTAGTAGGCATGTGAAAGAAAAAATATGAGACATATGAAAAATAACAAAGAAATATGCCAACCAGCATTTGGAGACAGTAAAAGCAATTGTGAGGTAACAATTCAAAATCCAAAAGAAACAAGTCTAAGCCAGTTACCTGAGAACCCTTCTGAGAAAAATAACATGCGATGAAGTACAGAGAACACCTGGATGGACATCAAATCCAAACAATTAGATAAAAGAATAACAACATCAAATGTAGGCTTGAAATCAGGTTTCCTCAAAAAGAGAAATGGAGAAAGATAAAGGATGAGAATTTCAAGTATAAACTGGTAACTTTTAACCAGTCCCTTACTCATCACTTCAGCAGTTCAGCTTTATGACTTGCACATAAAGATTCACACTTTGCAGCTCTATTCTATTTTACTTGATATTTTAATTAAAAAATGATAACCTTCCACTGCCGGCAGTTATATACATCCATATGCAGTAGAAAAAGTTGCAATGCAACACCATATATAGACAAATAAGCATACATCTTAACCATATCATTGCTTTCAGCTGAAATTCAATATTTCCTAGTTAATTTCAACTATGAGAGCTGGAGAATTTTACATGCTCTAGCATTAAGTTCCCTCCATTCTGAAATTTACCCTTACCGCCAAAAAAAAAAAATGAAGTTTACCTGTCAAGAATGTAAATTTTATTGGGGAATTCTACATGCACTGATGTTTTTGCTCTATACACCACACTTTTTTTTCAAAATTTTTTGTAAGCGAAATTACTAAAATACCCATCTCACAAATTTTATAACTTTCAAAAATCCATTTCCGAAAAGTCATAACACATTTCAAAAATGCATTTCAAAGAAATCATAACACTGCTCGGAAATGTATTTCCAAGAGTGTTGAAATTGAAATTTTATGAAAAATTCCAAAAAGAAGAAATTTTGTTAAAATTATTTATAAATAAGTGTAATGAAAAAAATTATTATTAAAAACTTATAAATTTTAAAATTAATAAAAAAAATTTATTTTTACTATTTTCATCGTAGAGAAAAAATAAAATCTTATGAGACTCTAATTAAATTAAAGATAAAATAGCAAGTATAATTTTTTTATAAATTTAAAATTTATCATTTTTTAATTAATATTTTTATATCAATTATTAAAATTTTATAATAATTTTAATTAAATTGAGCTATTTAAAAAAATCGTTACATCTACTTATCATGATAGGTTTCTCCAATTAGCATATTAAGTTTTGACAAAATTATATAGTATTCAGTAGTATTACTTAATATTGCCTCTTTACTCATAAGCATGCAATACTGGTTAAGAAAATCTTCAACTTTGAGTTAGTTCTAATTCTTCCAACATCCTTCCTATTGATTCTCAAATTCGTATGAGGCCGAGGACATGACAATGGTGATTTTGTAGCATTTTGAAAAAATTTTGTAGCATTTTGAAAAAATTTTGTAGTATTCAATAATATTATTTATACAATTTTAAGGAATTACAGCTCTTATATGTTGATCAGACTTGATAATTCTTTCATCACTCTTCATAACATCAAGAGATAAAATATTTAATTAAAACCTCATAAGACTTTATTTTTTCTCTAAACTTAAAATAGTAAAAATATTTTTTTATTAATTTTAAAATTTATTATTTTTCTAATAATAACTTTTTTCATTACATTAATTTATATATAATTTTAACAAAACTCCCTTTTTTGTAAATTTTCATAAATTTTTATTTTTTCACTTCCGAAAATACATTTCTGTGAAGTGTTATGACTTCCCAGAAATGATGAAAATATTAAAACTCATAAAAAAGGTATTTAAGTAATTTTACTTACAAAAAAATTTTGAAAAAAAAAGTGGGATATATTTAGAAAACAGGTGGGGTGCATTTAGAACTCCCCAATTTTATTTAACTTGTACCCAACCAGCATACCTTCTTTAAATGGTGACTATTACCATATGTTACGAAGAACTTTAGCAAAGAAAATTGTCTAAAAAAGCTTTTTTAAACACAATTTGAGCTAGAACATATTCACCTTTTCATTAAATTCTCCTAATGACAAATAATTCATTAAGTTAAAAGTAAAGAGAACTTACAGTGAAGGCATTCCTTTAAATAACCTAAGATCCCATACATCATGAGGCACAACGCATGAGTTTGTTAAATCCTAAAGACAGAACATTTAAATAAGGAGGGTATAATAAGTAAACCACATAAGAACATTTAAATTAAAATATAGCACTCTCTTACTAACTAATAGGCCATTGGTATGTAGAATAGCACTCACATTTGCAATAATGCTTCCAAGGAGAGCCAGAGCAGCATCCACCTGTATAAATACATGCAACTTAATATCCAAGCAGAAGCTTAAACAGAAAGTAAAGCCCAAGTGATAGTTTCAGAAAGCCAGTAACTTTATTTTGGGACATTATCTTTTAGAATTTAAAAAAGAAAAAAAAAAAAAAAGATATCCAAATGCTAATTCTCTACCTTCTAGCATGCACTTCAATTTTGAAATTAAAGGATTAGATGGATTTGAAGGCCGTTTTTCCTAAAAGGCCATTGGCTATGAAGCACAAACACAGATATGCAATATGGGTACGACATGACATGAACATGACGACACAGTAATTTATAAAAATTGAGGACATGGGTAAGGCATGACGCAGAAATAAAAACTATTTTTTATATATTTTATATAAACTATTCAATATAAATGTAAATACAATAAAAATGTAAATATTGATATTTTCAGTCAAATATTATATGAGAATAATTTTTTTTAAATCAGTTATAAGTTTAAATTTTTGAACTTCTAAAAACCAATTAAAGATTAAATAGCTCAAACTTAAAGGCCCAAAGGCCCTAAATCATCATGCCCCAAATTTACTTGGATTAAAAGATGGTTTGACCGAACTCTTTAAAGCCCACATGTCTACGTGTACTGAATTAACCATTTACATCCAGCTATGTATTCATCTTTGGGTCAGGGCCAATAAGAACGAAGTCGGTGATGCTACACCCGTAGAAGGGACCCTTCAATTATCATTTATTTGTCTTCAATTATACATAAAAGAGGATGAATTAGTTTTTTTCTCTAAAAAACTATTAATTTGTTTTGTGATCATCAATTTACGGTTTACATATTTTTCTTTTATAAGTTTGTTGTTGATCTGCTTATACCTAAAATTATCTTATCTATAATTTTTTTGTTTGTATTTTATTTCCATCCATTTATCTATTTGAAGCCACCTAGAAAATCGTATGCAGACTTCAAAAATTGCATATCTCAATTTAGCAGACTTATGTTCCGTGTCCAGCCGTGTCAGAGGCATGTCTCAACGTCTCCAATTTTTTTTTTCTGCATGTCTAATACGTGTCCCACCATGTCGGAAACTTGTCCATGTAGAACATGCATCAGACACCGGTAAGTGCTCCTGCATGGCATTCTAGTTCAAGCCATTGGACAAGAAGGATGTATAAATTCCATGTAATTCTAGTTCAAAACTCCTAGGAAACCAAACGAGACCAAAATTTAGGCTCTATTTGGTAATCATGAAAACAACTTCCAGAAAATAAAAGATTTTCTAGAAGATATTTTCAAGAAAAGAAGTTATCTTGTTTGGGTAACTTTAGAGAAAATATTTTCTTGAGTTTGTTTCAACTGAAAACATAACATTTTCTTTCTTCCCCTATCTCCATCACAATTCAAAACCCATACGGTGGTCCACCCAAATTCTGTTCAGTATGTTCAACAAAATAAAACAATGAAACCACCCAAATTCTTCAAGCAACAACTGCCTGCTAACCAACTGTTGAGAGATTACAAGACCCAATACATGTGTGAAGGCAAATGTGGTTGGATTCTTTTGCAATCATCAGCTTATGGTTCAGAAAATCCCAACTCAGAGAGCTTCAATGTAATCAACAAAGAAGGCAACCTCATCGCTAGCTAATCCTAGTTGAAAAACTCAAATCTTGTCAAAACTTGATAAATAAAGAACAGATCATGATGACTACCAACCAGAACTTTTATAGAGGCTCATAGCTCACCGATAAAATGTCTTTAGTTCAGGTAAAGTGTTTGATTCTCATGGATTAAATGTCTCAGTTAAAACTATTATGAGTTCTTGGGTCATTGACTCAAGAGCCAAAAAACATATGACACATTCCTCATAGAAGTTTAGTACATATACCTTATGTCCTAGTAATAAGAAAATTATTGTTGCAAATGGTTTACTTACTACAGGAGCAAGATTATGAGATGGTCAAATTAATCCCTCGCTTGTTCTTAAAAATGTTCTTCATGTTCTCCGATTGTCTATTAATCTGATATTTATACAAAAAATTACTAGAGACATGAACTACAAAGTGACTTTTTATCCCTCCTATTGTGAATTTCAAGACCAAAATTCGAGGAAGAGGATTGCACTTGCTAAGGAGAAAGATGGAATATACTATCTTAAGATATCAAACAACACAAGTAATATCAAGAACAGTTTACCATTGTCATTTCTTTCTGAAAAATCTCCCAATAAAAACAAAATCTGGCTTTATCATTTTCGTCTTGGACATCCTTCTTTTGGAACTTTGAAAAACATGCTTCCTTCTATGTTCAAAGGATTAAATGTAGAAAATTTTCATTGTAATGTTTGTGAACTTGCAAAGCATAAACATGTGTCTTTTCCAATTAGTAACAAAAGAAGTTCTACTCTTTTTTACTTGATTCATAGTGACAATGGGGTCCCTCTACAATTCTTAATATTTCTGGTACAAGGTGGTTTGTTTCATTCATAGATGATTGTTCCATAGTCTCATGGATATTTTTACTTAAATTCAAATTAGATGTAAATAGTGTGTTTTTAAGCTTTCAAAACATGATCCAAAACCAATTTGGAGTGCAAATCAAGAGATTTAGGTCTGATAATGCAAGAGACTGTTTCAACCAAACTACATATAATCTTTGACTCTATTTCTCAAAATGAGCATGAATCTCCTAAAACTAAAACTAGTGATTATCATCTATCTATTGCCATTAGGAAAAGAACTAGAGAATGTACTAAGCATCCACTATACCCAATCTCTATTTTGTGTCATTTGAAAATTTTTCATCATCCACAAAAAATTCCTTAAGAGCCTAAACACTATTTCCATTCCAACTACACTATTCGAGGCATTATCTAGTGAAAAATGGAGGCAGGCCATGAAAATAGAAATGGAAGCCTTAGAGAAAAATAAAACATGGGAACTTGTAGTGTTGCCAAAAGGAAAAATCTGATTAGGTATAAATGGATTTTCACTATAAAATACAAGGTACATGGTACTGTTGAAAGGTATAAGGCTAGGTTGGTGGCTAAGGGTTACACTCAAACTTTTGGAGTGGATTATCAAGAAACTTTTGCTCCAATTGCCAAGATGAATACAATTAGGATTTTGCTATCCTTGGTTACAAATTACAATTGGCAGCTTCAACAATTTGATGTAAAGAATGCTTTTCTACATGGTGATTTGGAAGAAGAAATATATATGAAGGTTCCATCGGGATTTAGAGTTCATCTATAAGCAAACAAAGTATGCAAGCTGAAAAAGGCTTTATACGGCCTTAAATAATCTCCTAGGGCTTGGTTCGGGAAATTTACCAAAATGATGCTAGCAATGGGATATAAACAGAGTCAAGGAAATCACACAATGTTTATCAAGCGCTCGAATTCAAGGAAAGTCATAGTTCTATTAGTGTATGTTGATGATATAATTGTAACCGGCGATGATGACAAAAAGAGAGAATTTCTAAAACAATGTTTGGCTAGAGAATTTGAAATTAAAGAGTTAGGAAGATTGAAGTACTTCCCAAGAATTGAAGTAACTCACTCACGGCATGGTATGTTCATCTCACAACAAAAATATATGATGGATCTTTAGAAGGAAACTGGGAAGCTCACATATAAACCTGCAAATACCCTTATAGATCCTAATCATAAACTTGGATAAGCTAATGAAAATGCTACTATAAATAGAGAGATGTAATAGAGATTAGTTGAAAGACTCATTTATCTCTCACATGCTAGACCTGATATAGCAATGTTGTGAGTGTGATAAGTCAATTTATGCATAGACCTAAAAAAGTGCACCTACAGGCTGTCTACCATGTACTACACTATTTGAAAGCGAATCCTAGGAGAAGTATCTTGCTCAAAAGAAATTTGAGGCTGGTTCTAGAGACATATAGATGCTGATTATGTAGGTTTGGTAACTGATAAAAGATCCACCTTAGGTTTCTACACTTTCCTAGGTGGTAATCTTGTGAATTGGAGGAGTAAAAAAAAATGTGATGGTAAGATCAAGTGTTGAAGTAGAGTTTAGAGCAATCACTCAAGAAATTTGCGAACTACTATGGTTAAAGATTATCCTAGACGACTTGAAGATCAAGTGGGATGGACCAATGACACTCTACTGTGATAACAAGTCTGCAATAAGCATTGTACACAATCCTGTGCAACATGACAAAATAAAACACAATGAAGTAGATCAGCATTTCATAAAGGAGAAACTAGATAGTGGGTTGATTTGTACACCGTATGCATCAACCAAGGGTCAACTTGCAGATGTGTTAACTAAAGGTCTTAGCAGTGCAACATTTCAGGAAATTATTTCCAAGCTCGAAATAGAAAACACCTATTCACTAGCTTGAGGGGAAGTGTGGGAAAACACTTAGCTATAGTTGGTTGTATTCTGTATATTTATGTTTGTATCCCTAAAATTAAGTATATGTATCTGTAGAATTAAGGATAGAAAATTAGGATAAACAATCCCTCAATTATAAGGATCAGTTTTAGAAAGACTTAGTTTCCTAGTTTACTCTCTACTTACCTATATATAAACCTAAGGTGCTTATATAATTCTTCAGAGGAGTTTCAATATAAATTCAGTTTTACTCTTAGTTTTTCCACATTTTTACCTCTACTAGCGACATAACTAAGTATGACAGGTTCAATGGGAATAGCGCTGCAATAGTCTGTGCCCGCACAGAGCAGGCTACTATTGATTTCCACTAACCCATCCAGACATCCAGTCCTACCCCCTCCTTAAATCGCAAGATCTATCTTGATTTGTAAACAAATGTATAACCACTAACTTTTAGGAAGAAAAACTAGAAGGCATCCATGCAACAAAATAGACTACAAAATAGAGGACTTTCAACTTAAGCAAGGCAGAAAACTTAAGGTCAATTTGATAAAGCATTGAAAATTTTCAATGCATTGAAAATTAAAAGTTTTAATAGTTTAATTTATTCAATATGTTTAATAACTCGTATTAGAAAGCACTTAATAGAATTTTTTAACAAAAAATGATGAATAAGTAGGTACAGGGCTTATTTATCACTTATTGTAGATATCGCTTCAAAATATTTTCTTTCAAAACAATTACCCTAAATAAATAGTTTGCATTTTCTCCAAAGTCTAGTTCTTCTCATCTTTATAATTTACACTGGATTCTCTGTAAATACTAAACCACAAGTTGATTGATCAAATCCTATTCCATGCGAGAATTTCTTCTACTTCTATTTTAATTTTTGGGTTTGTTTCTAGATATAGCTCATCTTCTTTCACTTTTTTTTTTTTATATCTTTGAACTCTCTAACCCTCATTTCTTCTTTCTTCTTTATATCAAGTAACAATTCAAATTGTTGTTATGGGTTTACAATGAAATACTCAAATTTTGTGATCTAGGTAATTGTATGATTCTCTAATTTAAATTAGTGCTATGGGTTTACATGAAATTCCAATTTTGCATTCTAAGTAACTGAATGATTTTTTTGAATTATTGTTATGGGTTTCCGATGAAATTCTCAAATTTGCATAATGGGTAATTGTATAATTGTTTAATTTGAATTGTTGTTCTGGATTTGCAAGAAAAAGCAAGATGTAAGTCCTATAAATTTGCAGGATCCCTTGCATTACTCCCTTGATAAAAGTCATGTCTGTATCAGATACAAAAAGAAAACCTCAAAGCCAACCAATGAAGTATATTATATAGTTGAAATTATTATATTATGGTTATGCATATTAAGAGTCATTAATGTTCCCATCAAAAAGCAAGACTTTATTGATGAATCCAACAGGCTTGGAATGGAGCTTCAACAACTCCATCAGATATTCTATGAAAGATTTTGTTGTTAGTGAAGGTGCACGCATATTTGTTTCTACTCCTTCCATGAGTGTTGATGTTGTTGGATTTGCTTGTTAAAACTTATGTCTAAAGAATTGGCATCTGATGTTTCACTAGAAGTTGTAATTGTAGTTGATTGTGATTTCTTGGGAATAACCAAGCATTTGTTATGGGTTGTAATATTATTATAAGTTGTCTGGTTTTGTTCTAGTAGATTTTTAATTCCTAAATCTGCCTTTTTTTATCTACTCTGTTGATCTTATGATCTTGAATTTTGATATTGTTGTAAAGTTAGCAAGTCATGCTTTTAAAATATCATATGTGAATAAGAGATTTTTGGCTTAGAATAAAGTACATTCCTAAAACAAATTCATGTGTAATTAACTCTGATACTAGAGTTAGTATAAGATTGCATTTTGGATTGCATTCAATGTCTGGTAAGGTTGGTAAGTCATTGGGAAGTTGTAACTTACAATCATCTACCAACCTCTGTCATACAACCATACGTGAACCATCCATTTGATTCCCAAACGTTGGTTTTTATAACTCTATATTTTTAATAGTTCTATTTAATGACATATTTCAAACTTGTATTCAAATCAAAATATGTAACTAAGAAGTTGACTTTATTTGGAATAATATAATGAAAATAACTTTGAAATGTAAAATGAATATTTTTAGAATTCAACATTTACAATTATCAAACAATATATTTATATTCAGCATTTAATTTTCAGTAAAATATCAAACAGTTTTTGTAATTCAAATTCATTGTTTATAAAATTCAGAACAAAAATTCAGCACTTAATTTTTCAGCACTCAATTTTTCAGTTTATCAAGCAGCACCTTAATCTTGGGATTAGATCCTAGCATTTCAACAGTAGACTAGACCCAGACTTACAGAGCATAAATTAGGTATTAATACTACTGAATCAGTTTGAAAGTGAAGATCTTGGATTCTAAAGACTTGCCTCCAAACCATAAAGATTAACTAACCATTCTCCTGCTGTATAAAAACTAATTAGTGACCATTAATTCTTGAAAATTTTAAAATTGCTCCCAAAAAGGAATGCTCACTCTAACCTCAATAGCACAGAATCTGAAACTCAATCATTACAAATATATGGACCTAAGAACAAAACTCCAAGATTGATAAATTAAATACATAGTAATGAATGAATATATCAGTTGCTGATTTCAATTGTTCAGCCTTTCAAAACAAATTTTGATTCCAACAGTTCCAAAGATTCCCCGATATCAGTATGTTATAGCAGGCTCACAAGTCACCTTAAATTTCTCTAACAGAAGGAGACCTTAATGCATTGAGATGCCATTTTTCCAAACAAATATTTAGTGCATAATGAGGAAAACAAATGATTAAAACTACTTATCAAAAAAAGTTCAAGAGAGAAAGGCATAAACAAAACTTACTACTGGAATTACGTTGCTAAATGTTGGCAATCCATGCATAAGATGGCTCCATATTAATTGCCAACCACAATCAAACTGCATTGTTTGTCAAACAATTTTAAAATGTTAATTCACTCAACAAGGACCTTCAAGCAAAAGATATATAATTAACGAAAGAAGCCAACTAGTCTAAATGATATAGTCTTTTCAGAATTGTACTTTGGCATAGCATATTATTAATGCATAAAGAATTTGGATAGGTCAAACATAAATGCAATTTATCAATAACATAGACTGACTACTTAATATAACATTGTGCAATTATAGTCTCCATCTATAAAGTTAGAAAAAATTCAGCTACATCTCTCTGACAACATTCTTTTCGGTCATTTTAGCGTTTTCTGACTTTTATAGACAATAAATTCCTGGCAAACTATAAAAATGGGCATGGTTCCCATAGATAACTCTTAACAACTAGAATGTTGGCATAAACCATTTCCGGTCAATCTCGATCAGCTCTCTTTTTATTCAGACTGCAGCATGAAACTCAAATTATATACCTCATGATGGATGACAACAGCACAAATTTGTGGGAAACCTCCTCTAGTTTAGCTTTCTGGATAAGGTAAATTCAAGTAATAAATTCTGAATGAGAAACATAACCATCCACAAAATTAAGGATAGAGTTTCTCTTAAGTTAAGCTCTACAACTCCATGCTTGTTATTATGTGGCACCAGACCCAATTCAATGCCTAGAATATGTAAAGCAACCAACCTAAAGCTGATTGGAAATAGTTGAAGCCTAACCTGAATATGAAACCACAAAATATGCTAAATTTAAACCATATGGAACAACACAACTTAGTGTCATCCTGTGTAGACCCAATACTAAAAAACTGAAACAAGCAGTTCTAATGAATGCAGAATAAATAAAGGGCAACAAACAAAATAAAAGCAAGGTAAAAATGTTAAGCATCCAAACTAAAACCAATTGGCAATAGGTGAAACAACCAGACTTGAATATAAAGCAGCAGCAGCAAATTCTAAACTTAAAAAATTTGAGGTAACACCGATTAACACAAACAAGCAATGGAGCCAGGAGTAGACGCCTGATTCCCATTTGGTACATATAAGACAACTTGAAATTATGAGGATCTATTTTCTAATAAATCAATGACCTAAATGTGTGCATGTCAAACTACAGAAAATTATCCCAAAAGAAAAGCGTAAGAAGAAACATATACCTCTTTTGAGGTAAAAGAGGAGCTCAACGAAATCTCCACTTGAGCATCTGAAAGCAGCAACATGGAAGAGAGTTCCTGCAGACTCCTTTAAATGCAAGTAACTACAAATATAAGCTCAAAGGAAAGATATATATATATATATATATATATAGAGAGAGAGAGAGAGAAAGAGAGAAACTTAATTCCAAGTTAAATATGATTGATACCGTTGAATCAAGCATGCACTAAAAATTTTAAAGACAACATAGAATCAAGAAAATGTTAAAGAAACAGCAATTCCAGATTTTGTTGTTAGAAGGGTGTACCGCAAAGTCCACAGCAAACCATCATAAGCATGCCCCACATTAGCATCATTCAAGATTCTGCAATATAAAAATGTTAATCCAACAAAAGAATTAACAATAATAACAGTGTTTCACAAATATTAAGAGAATACAAGAAAAATACTACAAATTATTTCCTCAAGCTTGTACACTTTCATCAACATCTACCAGAAAATTCCTAAATATGCAAGCATACATCTCAACATGGAAGGCTTCAGTAGATGGTATCTCAACGTGAATGGTTTTTTTTTTTTCCTTTTATACATAAGAATTTTTAGTTACATAACCGGAGGTAGCCTTTCCCATCCATAAATTCCACCCCTCCATCTTAGGATTTGAACCAGAGACCTTCAAGATGGAGTCTAATCGATGGGGTGTACCCTTCAGGACAACATTGAATGTTTTGCAGAATGGTGCAGTAACTCAAGAAAGCAAATCCAATAATTAATATAATAAAATGTTGTACACTAAAGTTTCAGAAATTTTCAAAAGCATACATCTCTACACATGTGAATACATAACTGCAAGCATGCACTTGTTTTTGCACGTATGTTTGTATTGCACATGCACTGAGAATAATGCAAGTAAAATTTCCCACACTGCTTTCAAGGTGCCCTCAAAAAGAACAATGATAAAGAAACTATATGAAGGCATGACTTTTTCATGCATCAATATGCTACCGTAAAGAAAGGAAAGTCAAAAAAATACTAGAGCCAATCAATCATGACAAGGTTTACAAGATGTCTGATTATACCTTTCAAAGCTTGCACAAATGCCTTCAAACCAGTAGACAAAAAGATCCTTACTTATGCGAGTGTAGTAATTACGAATGAGATAACAAAATGACACATGCCTGCAGTAACACCCATGCAGATTAACTTAACAAAATTGTTTACATAGAAAACAGAATAAGAGGAATTAGTGGCACTATTGAGAAATTGAGCAAAAACACTGACCATACAAAGAACAAAAGCTTCCATGATAATAACAGAGGACATCTACAAAAGAACTCAGGCAAAAATGCATCACAAAAAATAGATATGATTGTAACCTGATTTTACAACAATACTGTCAGACAGTTTTCTAAATAGAACGATAAAGCAGTAGTAAGGTGTCACTAGGGATACAGCAGTCAAATCGCATATTCACATCTCAACATTTAAAGTATGAAACAATAACACTCCCAAGTATAAAAAGTAAAAGACTCAAAGAATTAAAAATAGATTGCCAGATTTGCAGCAGCATTACATTTTTTAACACAAAATTGGAACCCATAATAATATATGAAAGAGGGACTAAAAACAAATGGCATCAACTAAAAATGAACAGTCAATAACAAGCTCACAATGGTTTCATTGGGAAAATTCTCACAGAAGTAGAAGCATCAGAGGCATATCAAGTTGGATATCTATGTGAAAACATATGCTATAGTGGAAATTATTTAAAAATGCTAAATCTAATATGGAACTATAATGAAGGAAAAGTAATTAAATAGCAAATTGGTCAAGGATATATGGTACAAAAATAATTTTTTCAGGTTAAGCATACCATAACCATTTTCCTTTCATAAGTGCATCCTTTAGACAGGCAGCAGCACTCTCTCTTTTAACGCGTTTTTCATTCAATGTTGCTCTGCTTGTATTGACACATGCCTGAGTCATATTACATTAAGAATGACAAAGATAATAAAATTAGAAGAATTCAACCACTAAAACTTAAAAAAAGTTGGCAATTTCAACAGACAAATATTTGAATGTATATCAACAATACCCAAACTGAAAATTCAATTTAAAAATTCAACAAAAAAATGCAGCAACCTTGAAATTATTTTGCAACTTTTGAATAAGAAGGAAATACCCAAACATAAATACTTCAAAGTGCAGCACAGCATCAGTTCTAACAGTAAAAAGAAGCAACTAGATACTAAGCATGAAAGCAGAATACCCGATACAATATGAGTGCTGCAAGCTCCACCAAATTGTGTTGCGAACTACTCAAGGTTCCAAACTTATCATCCTTGGCTCCATCACTCCTAACATTTATTGCATGACCATCCATCAGATCACAAGAAGCAACTAGCAGAGAAAATAAAAACAAATTTGCTCTGGAAAAGGAACAGAATAAAGATTAAAAGCACTCACCAAGAAGTAACAGGAATAGATAAATTGCTCTGATCTAGTTCCTTACATATGACGTCCAAGAGTTGTTCAACCAAGAAACTCCCATCAACTACACCTCTAACTAAATTTAGCTGTAACCTTGCATAAAGAACAAGTGCATCCTACAGAAGAAAAAAATACATAAGATACAACCCATAAATTCAAATTTAGTTCAAAATTTGGAAGAAGTTTTAACCTTAAGACCCTTATCATGTGTCGTCAGCCAAAAACGAAAAACAAATTGCTGTGTCGCATTATGGATCTCTAAGGACTGACAACTCAAATTTGGACCATCCTTCAACAAGTATGTATTAATACACTCAATTAGCTTGCGTGAAACTTTTCCCTCATCCCTGAACATTTACAGCAAGGGAAAGCAGTAATTATTAGATCATTATCAGGAACCGATACAAGAATGATTTAAAACAGCAGATTAAGGCAAAATAAACAATGAAAGCAACTAGGCTCCACCGATGTGTACCTTATATAAGAAAATATCTTAACAAACCCCTTCACAATGTCTTCCCTAAGGTTATCCGGGAAATCTCCAGGAGGATTTTCTAATAGAGACTGAAGGGTTAGGATGCTGCGGAAGATCTCCTCTTTCTGACTATATTGAGAGTTATTTTTCTCAGACAAGGTTGTTTCCACCTTTTCCATGTAGAAAACCATAAAACCTAGCCAAAAGTATTAAAATAAAATTGAGATCACCAAACAGTTCCAAACAAGGATTGCCAACATAAAAACGGGAAAAGATATGTGCCACCAGCATAAACAATATAAAACTCACCAGAGTAAATGCTCTTCCTCATATGAAATCGGTAGTCTCTGACCGCCAAAAGATTTCGTAATATAATCCCATATTCAGATTGAAAGCTTGGAACATTGTTTAACACATCCAGCATGTGACTAAAAAGTGTTTTAACCACAGACAACAATGGAAGCATATTTCCTGACAGAAGGAAATGGTTGATATATCAATATAAGCATTCAAAAAAAGGTGAAAGCACAAATTGCAGGGAACCTGCACAAAACTTTTTAGTTAGTCTATCAATGTGGATTTTCAAAGTTAATATGGGGTTGCAAGGGCCTTAATAGAAGTCTCTTGAAGTCTTAGGAATAACTTTTGGACTTTGTTTTCAGTGGCTATTAAGTAATAAGTAATTGCAAGGTAGTTTCTATTTTTGGTTGAAATGACCACGTTTTAATTGGCTGGCATTAATAAGAAGGATTTCTCTCACCAAGAAATTCCCTAGAGTCTATATACTTGACTGAAAATCTCAACCCATGAGTTAAGGAAAAGGAATCCAAGATTACCCAGCTGTTGATAACACAAAGATGCAACTAAACATTCTTATCCTATATAAATCATATGTAGCCAAATAACTCAGTCACTAACCCGGAAACTTAGTATCTTCCGCACGTTGAATGACAATTCGAAGAGTTTTTGCAAAAATTAACTTAGGTAATCTCCGCTTGCTTGTTGATATCTCCAATGATAGACACTGTGTGAGCAATTTAATAAGAAATGGCCATGTTTCAGCTGTAGATAGCAACATAGTGAAATGTCAATTCCCTTTGGACAATGTTTTAAAAAACACATAAAGAAAGCATGCGAAAAGATACAAGCAAACAAACAGACATAGATCTTACACTGAGGAATCTCGTTTGGTTTAAGCTTTGCAGTATTCTGTCCAATAAATTTACAAAATCCGATTGATCTTTCTCCCTCTAACCACATATTCAACAACTTTATTCCTTCCTAAAATTGCAAAAAATAAAAACACAAAACCAACCGAAAAACAAAAAGAAATTCAGTTAGTTATCAAGTAAATGTGCTAGATAAAACATAAACTACAATATACGCACATTGTTTAAAATGTTTCTATTATTTTTCTGGATCAAAATAAAAATACAAGTACAAAAAGAAGCTTTTGTTTGGTAGAAATGTGAGAATGTAAGAAAACCGTGTTTAGTTCCCTAATAAAGGTAAGAAAGTAAATATATATAACGTATTTTTTTAGGCACGAAAGTCGGAACTTTGAAAATGAACCGTACTTTCATCGATCAATCCGGAGCAAATAACAAAAAAGAAGTGAAATAAAAACAAAGTTCCAGTCCGATTTTACTCAGTTTTGACCATTTTATTGAGGAAAGGGAACGAGAAGAAAGTAGATAATCGAAGGGTTTTACTTCACGGGCTTTGGCTTTATCAGAGGAGAGCTTGGAGACGATCTCTTGAACATCACTGGAAGTAACCATGGCCGACTCAGGGAAGAGACTTCAAAGCAAAAGGGAAAGTGGAAATATGAACAGGAAAAAGTCGGGAGTCGGGAGTCGGGAGTCGGGAGTGGTTTGGAGAATGAAAGAGACCCACCCTTTCGTGAGTCGGTTTTGCTGATGAGTGGAAAAGGGTCGTTTTATTTGCGTTAACCGGGAACAAGGGTTTTCTTGACAATGAGAGGGCGGAGCCGGTGCGATTGAGTAATAAAAACGCTATATTTTGCCACGATTTCATAAAATTTTCATTTTAAATAAATTTTTATTTTTAAAAGTACTTATAATTTATATGTTTCTTTTTTATATTTTTAATATATGTTTATATTCTAATAATTTATTTATCTATCTAAAATCTAAAAGAAAAGATAAATATCTAAAAGATAAATCTTGCATATGTACCATATCACATGTTACTTTTTTGTTCTTTCATTTTTTTAATTTATATTTAATTCTTTTTCTTTTTTCTTTTTTATTTGCTTTTACTTTTTAATTCAAATTAATAAATATCTTAAATGCAATAAGATTCTAAAATTTGACTTAACGCCTATTATAGAAGAGTACTGTGTTTTGTTATGTTTAAAGCTCCTCAAGCTTGATAAAAGTATACTAAAAAGCACAAAAGTTGACCAGATATAAGAAAAAGTTAGTAAATATCATTAAGGTTGAGGTTCAGGAGATTGAAAAAAAGAAAGGAACCAACAAAAGAGTATCATAGAATTTCTTACGATATGTTATGCTTCAGAACTTCAACGAGGATCAAGTTATGGATATGTTTACCTTACTTATATACAATTTGGTGATCTTCCCGAAAACTTTAAGGTATATAGAGGCCTCCATGGTTGACTTTTTCATACAGTTGGAACAAGAGATCAATCATTCACCAACTATTTTGGAGAAAACCATTATATTTTTGAACTATTACCGAAGAAAAGGAGAAAGAAGGTTAATTGGTTATATTCAACTATTATATGTGTGGATTCAAAATCATTTTTGGGATACTAATCGAGCCTCGTTATTGACCTACATGAAGACTTTAGCATCGTTGAATGAGTTCAATGCTAAAGAATGACCTATGAATCTTTCCAATGATCAAGGGATAGTTTTCTTTTGAAGTTTAAAAAAATATGGGGTGACTTAGAAAGCACCGTGGATGCCTCGAGTTTCAATTTTATACAGTTGTAGCAATCAACCTTGAATTTCATTGTCTGGTATTTGAAAAGCCATTAGTTATGCATCATTGATGGTCATAAGACAGTATGGGTCTTAACAATTTATTTTGATGACTCAAGAATTGAATCAGATGAAATTTGATTATGGCATAGAAGGTTATATGGCTAGAGTGCATGTTATCACAAAAGTTTAAGAGGCTCACATTTAGGTTAGAATTAGTAAGATATATCGATAATATGACTCTAGGATATCTAGTTTGGAGGGCCAAATGAGGTAATGATTTGATGCACCATCGATCAAAAGATAATACAACTAGTTAATCTATAGGTCAAACCACTACTATCTGAATTAGAGATTGTTAAAATAAAATTTGAGGCCAAGATAGAAAAAATGAAAAAAAAAATCAGATACTGCAAAATGAGATGGGTCAGCTAAAATACGATGAATGAGTGTAAAGGGATAGGTAAGAAAAGATGACGAAAGAAAGATACTTTGACTTTACTTTTCTTATAATTTTAATCAAGAATGCTCTAGTTGAGTATTGTTAGGCATAACATAAAAAAATAAAAACACATGAAGTAATTAAGATTGGATTCATCACTTTGTCTGATTAAGAGAGTATCTCAACTAATCTTAATTGAATTAACTTGAGAAATCTTTTGCTAAAGTGAGATGAGAGTTTAAAATTTTCTAAAGCTTATTTATGAGTTAATGTCAAGGATAATATTTAACATGATTGAACAAGATTGAGTAGACACTAGACTATATTCAATGTTCAAACTAAGATACTATGTGATGAAAATATATTAATTATACACTAAAATCATTCACTGGTAGGTTGTCAAGGAATATTGATTTTTCATTAGCAATTGGGGGTCATGACAATGAAGCTAGCATTGATCATGATCTATAAACATAAGATTAGGCAATTGAAGAATTGATGATAAAGGCAAAGATTTTGTTTCATCCATAACTGAATACTAAGGGTTACAATACTTGTGTTTATTATTAACATACTAAAAAAACTAATGGGTCACACATAATAGGATAATTGTAAAAGACTAAAATTGAGACAAATTAAGTTAGACTTAGTTTGATTTTAGTATGACAAAAAATTAGACAAAATAAAAACAAGAAAAAAAGTATTTCTTGTTTTAGTATATTCAGCTAACATAGGGTTAATTGTAAAAATTTGAATTATATGTGTTTGTTAGCTCAAAGACTTGAAATAAACTAAGAGAGGGGTGAAGTGATTAATAATAAATTTTTGAAAAATCAATACCTAACAAGTACAAATTTTAAAAATCAATTTTTCTAAGTAAATGAACACAACAAATGTAAGTATACTAAAAATCTTAAAAACAAGATATAGAGATAGAGAATTAAATACCAAGATTTATAAAGTTTTGACCCTTCCTTTAGGCATCTACGTCTTCTCATTTAGCCTCACTTACCAATGAGTTCAATCTATTATATATTAAAAGTTACAACATAGCTCTTTAAAGCTCTATACAATCAACACCATAATCTTTTAAGGGTTATCTTCCCCCTTAAGCTCACAATCTCAAAATACAAATTTTTGAAGTGTTTTGCAAACTTAAAGAACCTCTCTAAGGTTTGATGGTTGCTAATTTGAAGTACAAATCAATATTGAGAAGAAGATTAAGAGAAAAAATGATACAATATAAACTTTCAGCATTTTTTTCTTACTAACTTGTTTTTAATGTTTGAAAAAGATGGTAAATAGAAGTAATAAGTTATTTTGGCTTTTCATGCTCTTCAATTGCAATGGGAAACCTTCAATTATATGTTGAAAGAAAGAGATAACCGTTGCTTGCATTTAATGCTTGAAACCTATAAAATTTCAAACAAGAAAATAGCCATTGGGGCTTTCTAAGCATCAGGGGATCGATTAGATTAGTTTATAAAAGACCAACTTTCATGCTAAACAAAGGCTACCTAATCGATCAAGTAAGAGACGTGATCAATCTCCTACCCAGGTGATCAATCCCCTATGTAGGAAAATGGATCATTTTTACAAGTTTTTGACCCAACAATATTTCTATATAAAAAATGGATTAATCCTTTTAAAAGGGGATCAATTGGGTCACAATCAAACCCCAACCAATTGATCTCTATAGGGAAAAGATCAATTGATTTTTAAAAATTTTGTTGAAGATGGGCTATTAAAAGAAAAATGGATCAATCCCTTTATCTACGGGATTGATCAAGATGTAAAGAGATCGATCTTTTTTATCCTAAAATGTCCAAAATTTATTTTTGTTTCTAGAATATGTTTTGTTTTAGTTCAAAAATAATTTTTGACAAGATAGAAGTTGGTAAAATATTCAATTTGAGATAAAGTAAATTTGATTCAAGTTAGGCAAATTTTTGTTTCTTCAATTCAAAAGCTTTTATCAATTCAAGGCTAACAATCTTTCCATTTTTGATATGACAAAACCAAGTGAAAATTTTGCTTAAAAATATTTTTTTCATTTGAAAAATAGGCTCTCCCTAAATTTAAGCATAAAGAAATTTAAAACAAACTAAGAACAAGGATATAACCATCAATATCAAGATCATCAAATAAGAAATTTTCATTTCATTACCTTTCACTTTTTCTATCATAGCAAAAGAATGAAAACAATGAAAGTAATATGGCAGTTAATTCAAGGTAATAAGAAGCTCAATATATGTTCAAATGCCATACAACTCAATTCCACAACTCAATGTTATACCAATTTTAATGTCATATAGCCATTAATCAATATACCAATTCTACATGACATCAATTGTAAACTAATTTCAAAATAATATAGCAAATGTCATTATGAAGATGAAATGCATATATCATTAATATAAACATCAAATACTAAGGTTTTAAAAGAAAACATAATGCAACGTATTTGTAAGAAAAGTAAAACATGAAAATATAGATATGTAGGGAAAACATATGAGGGATGGCATTAAGATAGATCATTAAAGAATAAGATAAGGTGAAAATGGTGAAAGTGCTAGTTCATCTCGGTCCTTATTTGGTGGATTTCTTCAGCCATGACATTTTGATTTAACTTCAATTTTGTAAGCCTTAAGTTTAGGTTTCCAACCATGGAGTGCAAGCCATTTATTTAAATAATCATAACTTAAAGGGCACCTTGTGTATCAAATGATAGACTAGAAGGTTCTCATTAAGGTACATAAAAAATATATGAAATATCATAGTCTTCTTGCTCTTCTTACACAGCCTCAATTTTAGTCTTTCGAACTTATAAACCAATTGCATTTTGTGTATAGTTTTACTATGCAGAGTATAAATTTTAAGAATACCGAATAGGTTATTAAACATGATTTCTCTATCATCCCTAGTGTTAATACTCAATTTTTTCAATAATTTATTGATAGCAAACCCATAGACTAAAGTGTAATATCTGTTTTATAGTACTTTCATCATGTCATTAAAGATAAAGTGCACTAGATTGGGTTTTTTCTCATGTTTGATCTTGTACATTCACCAGTAATCTTGTCTCCCAATAGTTAAATATTAGGTGTCAAATGGTGCCAATACATGAGTAACCATAAAGTGCAGCAATCTATCATACATTGAAAGTTTAGTGACTTATGTAGGAGCATTTTTCAAATTTTCATTCCTAAAGATATCTTGAGCTAAATCCAGCATTTCACACTTAGTGTTTATATCCTCACCATCATCTAGCATAAATATTTTAGCCAATAATTGCTTATTAACCATAATTTCTTTATCTATCACATAGGTTTTGAATTTATCAACATAATATTTATTTTTAGACCCTTCAATCTCAATACATGTCGCATTACTATAGAACACCTTAAAAAGATTCTCATAAATTATTCTATCTATGCACATATAGTTAATCTAACAAAAATTCTCAAATACATACAAACAAGGAAACTTAATAGATTGGAGAAATTTAAGAGATATTACCCTTTCATGCTTAACCTCTCTATGAGTAAAGTATGCTTCATATCTTTTCTTAGCATCAAAATTTGTAAAATTTTGATTGAATGAAGGCTTAATTGATGAACTAAAAGCCTCCCTTGGAGGATT